CCTCCCTCCTCTCTCTCTCTCTCTCTCTCTCTCTCTCTCTCTCTCTCTCGTGTTTTCTACCAATTGTTTTGGTTAGAAAGACCATTGATTTTTATTTATTTGAAGCCAAAGGAGACAGGAAAAGGTGGGAGATGACTTGCACTTCTGTGCTGCTGCTGTTCCTGCTTTGTTCTTCCTGCTCCCCAGCGGCGGTAGTAGTGGCATATGGAAGCTGCGCTTCGCCGTCGCCAGAAGTGGAGGGCTCGCTCATTATCTCATCTCCTCTCTTCCCAGCTTTAGCAACCTTCTGCTATATTTAGCACCTCTGGGCTTCCTGATTCTTCCTGACTCCTCCATCTCCGGCTTTATCCTTATCTTTCCTTTTGGTAAGTCTGTGCGCCATCTGTTCCTCCGTGCACTTACCTTGTTCTTCTTGTCCTAATCGTGCTGATTCGTCTACTATTAGAAGCAACATCTCAGAGGCGGGATGGAAGATCTGTTCAGCATACATCCGGGAATACTGGGGGGAGGGGAGACGCCGGCAGTGGGTTTGGCGTCCAGCTGCCAGGGGACAAGCGAGGCGTCGGAGGTGACAGGAAGCAGCGGCGGCGGTGGGTCGGATCTGACGGATCTGATCAAAGCTCAGATCGCGAACCACCCTCGCTACCCCTCTCTTCTATCCGCCTACATCGAGTGTCAGAAGGTATTAGTACTCGTATGCACATATATAACAGTAGCGTAAAGATTGGGAAGAATCTAAGAGCTGTTGATGGATTATCACATGTGATGTGTCGGTCCTTCACGCGAAGGTGGGGGCGCCGCCGGAGGTGGCGACGCTTTTGGAAGAGATCGGGAGGGAGAGGTACTCCAGCATGGGCGGTGGCGAGATCGGAGCTGATCCGGAGCTGGATGAGTTCATGGTAACATGGAGGACTCCAACAAGCTGCTACATCATTTCAACTACTGCTCTCTCTCTCTGTCTCTCTCTCTCTCCACGGGTGATTTAGGCTTTGGTTGCAGGAATCATACTGTCATGTATTGGTCCGGTACAAGGAGGAGCTCCTGAAGCCCTTCGACGAGGCTGCTTCGTTCCTCAACGATATCGAGATGCAGCTCACCAAACTATGCAAAGGATCCTCTTCTGCTGCTGCTGCCGCTGCCGCTGCCGCTGCCGCTGTCGCCGCTGCGGCCACCGGCAATTCTCCTTCCGGTAAATGCTAATCATTATTTAAGCCTTGGTGTGAAGATGAAGGGGTCGGTGCGTTGAATTAGAGAGAGAGAGAGAGAGAGAGAGAGAGAGCAGGTGGAGTGGTAGGGTTGGGGTAGTGAGCAGTCAAATCGTGTCCATGCAACTGGGGCGCAGCAGTGTCAGAATAGGCAATGGCGTAGGGATCGGTCCAACGTTGTAGGTCTTCTTTCTCCCTGCCTTGGCTTCTTTATCTTCCAGAGTCGTGAACGAGTTGTCCGATCAATCTCCTATTGCGAAAAGAAGAATTGAGATCATGGTACGGCTTTGGATTCCCTTCTCTCCAAGCCAAGAAAAAAGATGAGAGAGTTCATCTTAAGATAGTTGACCAAAGATTTTGCAGCTTCCATGGCTGCTCTAATGCTTCTTTTTTATCTCTTTATCATTCTTCATTAGCTGAATATATCAATGTGTAACAGTGTTCATCAAAGATACTGCTTACTATCACTGTTGTAGGACTCATTTCATTTTGCTCAATGTGTCTGCAGCATTCTTTTCTGTATTTTATGTTGTCACTGGGTGTGCCAAAAGCTTGATGCTTGCCCATCCAAGAACAGTTGACCTCGTTAGAGTTGTTCAACATGGCATGTTATTGAATCTTCTGTGGAATCACTTACTAGGGTTTTTCTTAGTTACATTTTGTGGTTGACTAATCTGTAATAAGAGTTGGATCTCTTGATTTGATCTTATTATTATCTGTACCGGCATGCGATGTAAACCACCTGTTTTTATTAGACTAAGTGGCATCTTTGATGTTTGCCGAAGGGATAAACAATAAATTAAAGTCTCTCGAAGGTTGACGATATTAAGAACAATCATGAAGAATTTACTGGGAGGTCTTGCGGATTACGATACTGTAGTTGGACGTAAGTTTTAGAACAACATTGGTCGGATTATCATGATGATTACCGGTCGTAATGCATCTTTATCAGACAAACTAGATGTTGATTTCCATCTAAAGTCTTGTTTTCATAAATTCAGTGTGCGAAAACTACAGCAAATCACTATTTGTTGAAAATTTTTTACTGCATTTTTCTTGAGAAGAGTGGCCGCAATCTTATGGTCTTCATGTAAAGATTCTTAAGAATTTCCTAATATGTTGGGTAGATATCACATTATCTATCACTTATCATATGCTATAGAAAGTAAGTTGGGAACTATTTATTTTGTTTTGTTCTGTGAAAGTTATGAGTGATTACATCTCTCTCCGCAGTCACAAGAAACAAAATAAGAAAACCCTTTTCCCCTTGCAAGTGTATTGGCAATCTTACCGTTCAAGCCTACAAATCATTAGTTGGGATCTTTAATAGCAAAAGGTCGTCCATATTTGATAGTCAAACAAACTTGTTATTATTCTATGTTGATCTAACCAGAAAAAGTGGAAATTTGGAGTGCATATTTTTTGTAGTACAAGTGTTTAATTTAGTATGTCTGCATCCACTTTAAACTGAATGACTCTGTAATGATGTGCAGGCAAATGTTAGATTCGACGAGTTTTCACGTAAATGATGTGGAACTGTTTTCCTAATACTTGTACTTGCTTTTACCTCCACATAATGACATCTAATTTTGCCCATGAAGTAATATTTTTTCTGTGCCGTTGCCTTGTGCCAGGCATCACCGATCCTTCTTATCGTTGGGAAAGTAACACCCTTGCCCACTTCTTCCCCATGCCTCTCGTGCATCAGAGTTCAATGGACTCGTAATCCCTCAAACTTGTCTAACATGATAAAGTACACAAGAATATAATTACTTATTTAATCACTACGATTTATAAGGTGTCTTTTGCTGTATTGTACAGAACTAGATGGAAACAAAGCTCTCTGTTGAAATGGAAATGACACTTGATCTACATCTATAATGCAGAAAATGAAGTCCAATTAAATCAAAATGCCTATGGAAAGAATATATGATTCAATGTGGATCTGGAGCCAAAAATACACTTGCAAGTTTGCTTAATTTGACAGAATTAGAATTTTTATTGAGACAACATCTGAAAGTCTCTTTTCACTATGGCATTTCTAAAATCCGATTTAACTGATGAATATATCTCTTTCATGCATGAGCACACTAACCTTTTTCTAATTTTGTGTGTCTCTTGATGTATGGATGTCTTTTTGTCTGTCAAGAATTCCCAGTTTTTCTGTTTAATCTTGAGATGAAAATAACCATCTGTTCTTATGTTGCATACTTGTTTAATCTGTTCCTAGTTGACAGGTCCTGTATACCATCTTTCCTGGATCTCTTTTTCATGATATCTCTTGGTTTTTCCCCAAAAACAAAGAACAATGTGCTTATATGTTCTTGCAATCACGATTACCTTCTTCTTAAGCCATATTGAGTGTTGAGGCTTCCATATTTTCTTTTTAAGAACATATCCTAATTAGAATCCCAAATGCCTACATTTTGTGATAAAATTGTTTATTTATATCTACATGGTAAAACTTTAAAATACATTTGAAGATTCTAAAATTTGGTTTTCCTTTAATCTTTCATGTGTCTGTCTCAATAGTTTATAAGCTTTTCTCATTTCACCATGTGGAGGGGCAGAGGCCAGATTGCATGGTTAGGAAGTGCAATGACCTCTGAATCATATCATGCTGAACTTAGGAGACCTCTCAGATTTCAGGGTTATGCCTCTTTGTGGAATTGATGAGCCGACACATATTTTTAGTTATTTGACAAGCAATTATTTAAACTGTCCAAGCTAGTTTAAGCGAAATATCAATGCCACTTTGTAATTAACTGGATCATATAAATCAAAGAAACATTCATGTGATTTCCTAGAAAAGAGTCTTTTTTGTGATATGGTGTATGTCAAACTTTCCTGCACCTTTGATGTATTCCTTTGCTCAATTAGCATCTGTTATTCTTGTTTATTATTGTCAAGCATGCTGCTCTTGAGGTTCATGCTTTAGAATTATTTTCTATTATTGAGTTTTATTTCTTTTTCAGAATAATCCTACGGTCTATAGCTTCCCTCGTGGGAAGAAAAATAGATCCCATTGAGCAATTGTGTTTAGAGTGATGCTAATGTTGACATATCCACCATGTCCTAAGCTTGCATTGAGAGTACATCTTACCATGACTGATAAATTGTCCGTGACTTAATAGTTGTTGAGGATTATAATAATTGATTGCTCTTCTCTTTTGTTTGTACATAAGGCTGCAGAAAGTAATTATAAACAGTCACTTTTGTTGTGGTTTCATGAACCTTTTCCGTGTTTACTCAGTCTAATATCTAGTACTGGGTGAACTTTTCCATGATGGATACACATTTTATGGAGCATAGATGCATAATATGTATCAACCATTAAATCTACATCTTTAAAATTCATCATCTTATTTAACCCAAGCATTTATCATATTAACATAACGTACTTTTTCTTGCTGTTCTAAATTTATTAGTTATTTAAATATTTTGTTCTGCATTTTGTCAATCATGGTGATCTGATATGCTCTCACTGCAATCATGGTGATCTGATATGCTCTCACTTTGTACAAAAGGCTGCAGAAAGCAATTATAAACAGTCACTGGTTTCATGAACCTTTTCTGTGTTTACTCAGTCTAATATCTAGTATCGGGTGAACTTTTCCATGATGGATACACATTTTATGGAGCATAAATGCGTAATATGAATCAACCATTATATCTACATCTTTAAAATTCATCATCTTATTTAACCCAAGCATTTATCATATTAACATAACATACTTTTTCTTGCTGTTCTAAATTTATTAGTTATTTAAATATTTTGTTCTTTGTCAATCATGGTGATATGATATGCTCTCACTGCAATCTTAAAACAGTTTAAATTAGGGGAAATTATGATCTAATCATGGCTTTCGTTAAGGGTGCTCATGTCTTAGGACTGTTATAGCATGTTTTAATACTTAAGATTTTTGTGTTAGACATGCTTTCGTTATTGTTTGTGGAATATTTAGCCTTACGAGTATTGGCTTACATTTTGGAATTGTTCAATGGATAAACAAGAAGGATCTTATCCTATTCGCCTATTAGTGATGTGATGGATATCAAACTGTCTAAAACTTTGACGCATGCATTTGTTTCATTGTTTCTTGCTAATTTTTGTCTGAATGTGCTGCTCTTGAGGATCAAACATCAGGTTCGTTTAGAAAATGTGGTCGAGTGAAATAGGAACTAGAATTGGAGATTGTTAGGAATTGGTTGTGTCCAAACAATTCCTCTAGCTTATGCGGACCACATATGATTTCTTTCTTGTGATGCGCACACCATGATATGGTTGAGTTCTTAATGGTTCTTGTGATAACTTTGGTTCTCTTTATTTTTTTCTTGTTGTTTGATGGCTAGTGCCAATTAGAAATTCTCTGGTGTGCATTCTTGGCTTAGAGCTATTGCATGAATTAATTAATGTCAGATCTTAACCGATTATTGGCTTTTCTATTTGAGCATTTTATTTCCTTAAGTCGTTTAATATATTAGAATTTTCTCACTGGTGATCATGCACTTACTGGTCATTTATTTATTCAACTGTGACCAGCATCTATATTGGACTTGTGTTGTATGTATGTGTCAAATACATGTATCTGACCAGTTGTGAGATGTGTCATTGTAGTTTGATATTTTGTTATGTGTTCACTATGGTCATATTTATAACATGATTTGACACTCATGGGTATATTTCTCAGAGGAAATGATTGGATCCTCTGAAGAACTATGTTGTGGAGATCTGGAAACATCCGAAGGCCAGGAATGCGGTTCACGCCTGGCCGACCAAGAATTGAAGGAGATGCTGCTGAAGAAGTATAGTGGCTATCTGAGCAATCTGCGCAAGGAATTCTTGAAGAAGAGGAAGAAGGGAAAGCTACCGAAGGATGCACGGTTGATGCTATTAGACTGGTGGAACACTCACTACAGATGGCCGTATCCAACTGTAATCTCTTACTGAGTTCTTCGTCCCATAAAGTTCATGTTCAGCTTCTTCGTTACTAGCTCGGGGTGACAGTCATTTTGTGGTAGATTATCATGTAATGAGGCTTAACTTATTGGGAATGGTATGTGCAGGAAGAGGAGAAGGCAAAGCTAGCAGAGAAGACAGGCCTTGACCAGAAGCAAATCAACAACTGGTTCATCAACCAAAGAAAAAGACACTGGAAGCCGTCCGATGACATGCGATACGCGCTGATGGAGGGGGTGAGTGGTGGATCCAGTGGGACCATGTTGTACTTTGACAGGGGTGCAATTGGTCCTTGAGCAATTGGATCCAGTTCACAAGCTTGTTTTGGGCCACTTGCAGCTGCTCATGATTCCTATGTGAAAGATGTTGCATAGAATTGCTAGCTATGCATTTATCATAGAGTGGATAATGGCTTAACTGGTAAAAGGCTATATCTGCCTTCTTTTTGGTTGTATTGTGATGTGTGTTCTGGTTATCCCTGCTAATTAATGTACTCATCTGTTTATTGGCCTCAAATAGTGTTGTTGAGGCCTGCTAAGTTTGGACTACTTGAATGTTCAAATCTAGAAATTATGAAGAGCTTGTAGACAGGGTTTCCTGTATCTCTGTATATATATCATGTGGCTATCAGGTGGACTTTAAACTCAGCAAAGAGTTGCTTTGTTCATGTGGCATCAAACAACATTGTGGGGGACATTAAGACCTTCAAAGGAAGTTGAGTTTTGTGGAAATAAATCCAAATTCCTTTCTACTGCCTCTGTGAATATTATATTTTGATCTGATGATTAAATTCTCTAGACCTAGAAAAAAAAAAAGACATAGTTGTCATCAGATTAAGCATGGTGGGAACAGTTCACAAACTGATGCACTTCAGCCATGTTTCTGGAGAAAGGAAACAAGGAAAAGAAAGGCTTCAGCCAGCTGGCACCATGGATACCATGATTAATAATGTCAGACATTTACTTCATTCATCATGCAAACTGATTGCCTGTTCAAACAGATCAAGCTTGGTGGGAACAGATCACAAACTGATGCACTTCAGCCATGTTTCTGTAGAAAGGAAACAGGGAAAAAGAAAGGCTTCAGCCACCATATCTTTGCTGTCACCAGCTTTAATAATTTAAGTTCAATAGCAATAAGAAACTCTATGCACCATGGATCCCATGACTAATAATGTCAGACATTTACTTCATTCATCATGCAAACTGATTGCCTGTTCAAACAGAAGTAACAGATCAAGCATGGTGGGAACAGATCACAAACTGATGCACTTCAGCCATGTTTCTGTAGAAAGGAAACAGGGAAAAAGAAAGGCTTCAGCCACCATATCAATGCTGTCACCAGCTTTAACAATTTAAGTTCAATAGCAATAAGAAACCCTATGCACCATGGATCCCATGACTAATAATGTCAGACATTTACTTCATTCATCATGCAAACTGATTGCCTGTTCAAACAGAAGGAACAGATCAAGCATGGTGGGAACAGATCACAAACTGATGCACTTCAGCCATGTTTCTGTAGAAAGGAAACAAGGAAAAGATAGGCTTCAGCCACCATATAATTGCTGTCACCAGCTACAACAATTGAAGTTCAATAGCAATAAGAAACTCTATGCACCATGGATCCCATGACTAATAATGTCAGACATTTACTTCATTGCCTGCTCAAACAGGAGGGAGGCAAATAGTAATGATAGATGGAATATGAGGAAAAGTTATTATACACGACTCCAATAACTAGAATCTAACTTAACTGATTGTTTCAGAAGAGTCGCCAGTCCTCAGAAGCTTCAGGGTTTTGCTCACTAGGGTTTTCATAGTCGACATTTTCTCTTGAGTTATATGCATCTTCGGAACCAGAGCTAGTTTCTTCTTCTGGTTGAACAAAATGGAGCAAGTAGTCAATTCCATTTACAATATCATACACCATCAGGCCCATCCTTCCTCCCACCCAGCTACCAAGATGGCTGCCCATAAGATAACCAAATCTTCCCAGTCTCTGCTCTCCATGGTAGCCTCCTGCATAGGTCCCAAATAAGGTGCCAGCCCCTCTGAGGAAGCCCTCTGTCATGGTTCCCCCAAAGTACAAGGCTTCAAAAAAATCCCACCCCGACGATAAGATTGGACCTAAAATGCGCTTGGCCTTCCTAGAAGCCTCCTTTGCAGCTTTTGCTCCAGTTTTCTGGGCCTGCTTTGCGGCCACACTGGCGCTGAGACCTTCTGTCAATGCCTCAGTTAGAGCAATCTCGGTTGCTAGTTGCCTTGCTCTTTCCACATGTGCATTTCTGATATTGTATACATAGAGCTTCACCCCCTCTTTGACCACACAGGCAAGACTTCCAGATCCCATGTCAAAGCAATTTAAAAATGTAAACTTCCCACTTTTGGATGAAGCTTCCTCTCCAACAAATTCCCTGAATTTTTCAGCTGCAAGAGAAACAGAGTGATAGAGAGTAGATATGTCTGTAAATCATGTGCCCACAGATGAAACAAGAAATAGATGTTGCATTAAAAATGATTTGGTTGGTTCCGAAGAAATGGATGTAAATAAATAGGGATAAGAAATATATGTTGAAGATTAATTTTAGTAAGATCGTTTTACTGTCACGACAAGGTGGTCAACTGGCACAACATTTAAATAACAAGCATTATCTAATGTGTCCCATGATTACTAAAACCCAAATTATTAATAGCAGGCTAATCTACTCAGATATAAAATCTAATCATTTCTCATCTTCTGAGGATTTGGATGTCCAAGTTCCCTACTTGAGTTCCTAATCTTGTCAAGGACAGTACAAAATTCTTATCTAGGTATCCATCACTTATCAAGGCTAGCCCAGAATCTTCCATATTCCAACATCAAGATTGACCCGAATAAATTCCCATCTCGATGCACATGATAATTGTCATTTTGTTGTGGTCCATGCAAAAGATCTCACATGGATTATGTGATCCACTTGGCATTCACAAATGTTTTGATGCCATTTGTCACAACCAAGTAACCAACTGGAATAACTTGAGCTACATGGACCTCAAATAACATGCCCAAAAATTCTTAAGCAGGAGTTATCAGCAGTAGGCAAATCCAAACCCAGTAAAGAATCTAGCATCACTCTTCAGAACCTTTTCCATATAGCTAGTGGTTCGTTTGCTAGCGTAGTAAACATATCGCAGTGTCATCAGCTGGTTTGTGTTCAATGTTTCTTGAACATAACTGAAATGTGTTCCTCACCACATTTCTTCTTATTAGAAGATAAATGGAGTATAAAGGTGATTACACCATCATGTAAGCTTTTAATGATCAGGATTGCACCACAAATTGTAGAAGATCTCAGGCAGGATCAGTTTGTGAATAATTGTGAATCAATATACTTCTCTATTTTTTTTTTTAGAAGTGATTCATTTAAGAAATCATGAATTCAATGGGAAATAAAGTTAGTTCAAAATTGGATGAATGAAGAATAAACACCATTCTAAAAAAATAGAAAGAAAATAAATTAAAAGCATGTTTACTTCTACCAGGAAACCCTCTATGCACCTCCCTTTAGTGCACTGCAACATGCTCAAGAAATGAATATCAGAGTTTCTTTATCCAATGGTTTCCTAAATGAGTCAATATGATATTTATTTTGCCAAAAAAAAAAGAAACACCTAAAATTTGAAGTCTAAATTAACTTCAAAATTATTAAATAACCAAACATTAATGATCTTTATTCGGAAATGTTATAACTGAACTACTTTTGAAGTCTAAAAATTTATTATAATTACTGACTCAAAAAACATGGAAAATTTTAACAAGGCTGCTTGTTATGATCCTACGGAATCCTGATTTGGAGAGAAGATCGAGATTTTTAAGCACCACTTTGATCCAGATCATTGAATCGTAAAATGCAGACAACATTGTGCATGACCAATCAAAGTATTTGATTGAGCCTCCTGTATGCGCTCTTTACTTTTTCTCAGGTAAGTGCAACTCTAGCTCCACTGCTGATAAGGCTCACGTTATATCACTTTATTCTTGTAAATACTTGATTTCGTGTAAATACTACACCCAGAAGTACAGTTACCATTTAATACTACTTCATAAAGTGTCCCTAATTTGCTTGGTTAGTTTGATTCTTTCCCATCTTAAAAGATTGGGACTTTTCAATAAGAAGCTCAGTAGAACTATTATTGCGGACTGATGCAAGTCACTAAAAGAGTAGGCATTCCATTTTCTTATGTTGATCTTTGTATGGTCACCATTACAGAACTAAACTTTCACATTGACAAATTTCTCTCAAGGTTGAAACAAGCAAGTGCTAATCAAATAGAAGAGAATGAGACTGATAAAAGATGACATAGCAAAGTTGACCAAATCAATATCACTCTCTTAAAAGTTTCTGATGAAGGTAGTGAAGAACATATCGGATTGGGATTATATTCATCAGGGATTCCAGTTCCACAAAATTTCGTTTTGACCCTCTACATCTGTATTCACACAAATCTGTCAAACAGAGATTGCACAAATCCTTAAACCTTAGTGATCGGTCACACAGAACCTTGATCCTTAGTGATCTACTGAGTAGAGCATGGTGTGAAAGTAGTGCAGTGTGTTAAAAGAGAATAAAATCCATTTTCTTTGGAGGACTATACTCACTCTTTGAAGTGTTTCTTCAGGTAGTATCGAACTCCAGAATAACACACCTCCTTTCCACAACCCAGACTTAAGGCTATATCACAAATGTGGTGGGAAAAACACCAGTACCCACAAGGTGTGCCATATTCTCACAATCTGATATAAAGAAGACCACGACAATTTCTCCTCAACATGCTTCTGGTTCAAGAGGCGAGTCAACTAATTGATGCAACAGTCAATGACACAAGGACTAATCACACGATTAAGCTCTACAACATAACTACTCAACATAAATTCTTTCAAAACGAAGAATAAATCATTCCCAAGTATCATCAACATCTTTATCATTGTACCTAAATTGATCAAATGCTAATCCATGCGTCTTACCAAACCCACAGCCTTTCATTTCTAGAGTCTCCTTAAATTTGACATATCAAACTAGAAGCAATACTAAAACTCTTATCATGTTACTTCAAACAATGAGAGCATAAGGAACTACTAATAGTGGCTTTTGAGCATAAAATTAAAAGCAAGGATTGAAGTTCAAGCATTAGATTTAATTCTTTTTCCTCATAGTCCTGAATAGACTGATTACTTATTCATGCAAGGAGTGCTGAATTAATAGGCAAAATAAGTTGCCTAGCTAGGGTGTGAGAAGAAGCTGAGGAAGGTTGGAGTAGAGAATAGAGAAGAAATATACCACTGTTCTGTCTTATGACTACCTCCTAAACCATAAACAAGGAAGATACTGAAGATTGAACAGGAAGTAGCATTTACTGTATTAAGGTTAGGTACAATAGTCAACTATGAATCATAATGGTTCACATGAGAAGTCATATGAATGCAGTTTCAAAGGACACTTAATTAACCAAAACTGGAATGAACCTCACCTATACCCTGTAATGGTCTAGGTTAATAACACATGATATATTTCTAAAAAAATCATCAGAAGAGAAAGCGGAGGGAGAATGTGATTGGATCAATTATGGTGGTTTTGGTTAATTAATACGAGTACTTTTAGCTGAAACTAGTAATGTCAGCTGAAAATGATCGAGACAGGCTTCTATAAGTCATTCCCATCAATCAGAGGCAAGATCATTACAAACTCACTCAAACTACGTTATTTTACTAGTGGCCTAATATATATAGTTCCCAAATCATAGCACCTATTTAATGATGATGGATACTTAGAAAGTCCAACACAATAATTATGCAGACACTTATTCACTCATTTAGATGAATCATGATGAAGTATATCCCTGCCAAAGGCCATCACACCATATTTAAGTGTAGTAAAAGGAAATTTTCACTGCAGTGATCAATGTGACATGAAAACCCAAGTGCACACTCAGATAAAATCTACTAAATCTCAGCAAAACTGGGGCTGGTACTCCTTGGTTATTTGGAATCTGACTTGTGTTTTGATGAAATCCCGAAGGTTGACATGAGTCTTAAAATACACTAACCCAACCTTTCCTTTGTGTATCCTCTTTCAAGACTCAATCCCTAATCCTAATACACTTCAGCGACACACATTTTCCTTTCATATAGGGGAGGAATGGATTTATATTCAAGTGGAGAGGGAGGCACAAATCTTAGTGGATTCTAATGCTGAAGTAATTAGGAACAATTTTATACAAAATTTGTGTTTTTTTACAAGAAGCCAATATCACACAGTAGTAATTTAGTTTATGTAATCCAAATAGTTAGATGAATGAATGACAAAAGAAAATGAAACTTTAAATAAAAAAAAGCAATATAAAAAAATAAATTGCAAGATCTACACAGAGAAACTGCCAATATAGAGTAATACAGAAGGATTGCCCTCATCCTGTGAGCAGTTACAGTCTGCTCTGCTACATCAGCGAATCCTTATTTGGCTTGAGGTAGAAATGGCAAGAAGTTGCTATCACTATCAAACAACCTCTCATACCTATAAATTTTGCCTAGGGTCCAAGGTTGTAGTCTCATCTAATTGCTACCTTAAGCTTAGCCTACTTACCTGTCTAACTCAAATATCAGAATGGACCCCATTAAACGTAACTCTGATATCTTGTTGGTGGTGTTCATGTTAAAAGTCCTTGACCTTGGAGGTTCAGCGTCTCTCTCTCTCTCTCTCCATATATATTTCTCTTAGTGGTGATTTCATACCTCCAATAGTGCCAACCCTCTGATTGACCCTACTCTCTCCCTCTTTCTCTCTCTCTCTCTCTCTCTCTCTCACGCTCGCTCCTTTTCTGACCTCCTTCTGTCTTTGATGGTGCACTGAAAGATGGGGATGGGGATCCCCGTACCAATACAGTGTGAGGGTGAGGATAGGTATGAACTGGAGATTACCTATAAACTGGAGATTAAGGGGATGGGCAAGATCAAGTATGATCAAGCCAACCCCTGATCTGGATCAATGTTACTCCTACTAAACGGAGCATAACATTCAGCAAAAACATCTTTTTGTAGGCAATATCTCCGTAGTCAACCAGATAGATTAGCTTCTAGTAAACAAACAATTACATATGACAATATGGCACATCTTATTGTACTGCTGAATTCATTAATGAAAGAAGAACATACGCTGCATTTTACGCTGCATATCATCCCATCCAACTGATCATTCATTCTATTAGACACTCTCCACGACCAAATCATTGCATGAACAATAGAAAAGCTTTATGTTAACTCTATACGGTTATGAACTCTTTTCTCCGCTATAATGCACCTCATTTATCCCAGTACTGAGTGCATCGATGTTTCCGAGCCCTAAAACATAACAATCATTAGTTACTAAGCCCATATCCTCCATTCACTTGTCCACCGTGCCATAATCAGAGTCAAAGACGTCAATTCCCCAAACCCAAGCATTTCTAAACCCCATAGAAAGAGATCAGCATCACAGCCGCAACCATGTCGAAGCCCAACTCCGACCAAATGAAAGACGCTCATCACACAAAGAGGCATAAATTAAGGGACGATTCCAGAGGAGAAACGCGAAGTAGAGAGGTCGAACCAAGGCGAACCTGTCATGCTGAGGGTTATCAGACCGGCGATGAAGAGCAGGAGTTGAACCCGGCGCTTCTGGAAGTCCATCATCCGCACCTGAAACCCTAACCCCCACCCTCACCTCTCAGGCTTCTCAGCGATTCGGAGCTCGAGGCGGTGACTGTGAGTGGGAGAAGACGACTTCCCGAGTGTCTCCGTCTAATTTTGGGCGTCCAGATTCCAAAAGCGTCGACGACCGCGTCGAGGGTAACAGAGCCAAGGAGGAAGACGTCGGTCTGCTCCGGTACCATAGACGAGCGACCAAACATCAAATGCGCCCCTCCCATTGGGCCACCTTTCAACTCCGTGGCCCATGATGTCGTAGGAGCACATACAACACGTGTCAGCAACAAAAGCCCCATGCTTTCTTTTCGTGCTCACTTAAACCCTACCCGTCAACTTACCTGGTTGTGATTGGAGGATGCGTGAACCCACACGCACGTCTCTCCTGATCGTTATATTTAATCTCTGTTAGCTACTATTGACTATGTATAGTTCTTTCGAAATAGAAAATTTTGGATGGAATTCTTATATATATATATGTATATATATATATATACTATATAAATATATAATATATATATATATATTATATATATATATATATATACACGTATACATATATATATATATATATATATATATATATATATATATATATATATATAAAACGCGCGCGCGCACATATATATATATATATATATATATATATATATATATATATATATATATATATATATATATATATATATATATATATAGTGAGGTTTAACTTCTCCATCATCCATTAGTAGATTTTTTCTAAAGTGAGAAATTAAAGTCTTACTTTGATGCTTCAATTTTAATTTAGTAGTGAAGAACATGCTCCATATATTCTAATGATAATCTCAAATCGTCAATATCATCATCAGCACATAATTGCTCCAAAAAAATGTTGAAATTAAAAAAAATATTTATTTACTAATAAATATTTTTGTATATAAAAATAAAGTTGTTGAAGAAAACATTTATAAATAATAAAAATGTAAAATAATTAACTGATAGGGGTTGATGTGCAAAAGTCACATCATCTTATATCTCTACACAGTAATGGGACAAGGCGGCGTCCGTGAGGACGATGGAGAGCAGAAGAAGCAGCGGCGACATGGGGAGAATAGCCTCGTGGGTGAAGAGCCACCGTCCGATGTACGATCGCGCGACCCAGCACCCCTTCGTCGTCGGCATCTCCGATGGTTCCGTCGACCTCTCCGCCTTCAAGCGATGGCTCGTAAGAAATCGATCCAAACGCTTCCTTTTGTTGTGTTAGGTATCATCTTAAATCTTTTTTATCAGACAAAAAGGGATATTTCGATGTTCTCGCACACTTTTGCGGGTAATTGTCTTATTTAAAAGCTTTTAGCTAAATTTTTCTTGCTAGCTAGGAGGGTGAATATTTGACTGTGACAATGTCTAGATTTTTTGGTTATCAGCATGAAGTGCAACTCCAGTTTTGATGTCCAAACTCCAGTTTTTTTATTTACTACCGATACGTACGTTTGATGAGAGAAAGGTACCATTTTTCATCAATTCTTCAGTCCAGTCTTGCCAAATACAACTATTAGTTTCACCACTATATTATTTATTAGTGTTCATCATATGGTTTGTTCATTCTTTTGATTGCTCTCTTTTCAGAGGAAGCTTTTGATTTCTCGAAATTTGCACATTCATGAATCAGAGCAGTGGCATATAGTAGTTCTCTGCATCGACACGATAATAGTGGATTTGGGTTTAAATATATTTGCGTCTTCCTCCATCTAGATAACATATAAGATAACTAGGTTTATGGCATGCTGGCTATTCTTGAAATGATGGTTCGTTGTACAAATGTCTTTGGTTGAATTACGGAGATTTTCTTTGCAAAGAGTCATCTTTTTTCTTCATCACAGAGTCATCTTTTTTTCTTCTGCAAAATATTTGAACAGCAACAGGCTCCATGGCTTTTGAAGGGATAACTTGGCAACACTCTATGGTTTAAATGTTGTGCTAAACAAGCTGAATTTTTTAGCACACAAGTCCATCGAAACTATCCTTAAAGCATCTGACGTTAGATGACCTCTGTCAAAAGGAAAAAAAAAGTGATTTAGGGTTTGTATGAGAATTAAGAAAGTAAAAAATCAGCTTGACATTTTCTTTAAGTCGCTGCTTTAAAGAGAATTATGACAATGTTTATCTGTGGCAACCTTTATGTACTGGATCACGCAGCAATAACCATGTCAACTGTTGTACCAAAAATGTTAGAGTTAGTGCATTTTTTGTTATTTCTGCTCTAATAAGTCACCAACATCCACATATTAATACATTATAGCACTTGATTTGTTATACAGTATAGCACTTTGATTTGTTATACTACATCTTTTTCCTCAAATCATCCGCATCTTCTCCTCTTCTTTTGCTTGGTTGCTCACTTCATTCTTGTTCTATATTCCCATTGCTTAATGCCTATGATGTCATTGTGCAGTGGCAGAGTGAATTCCATGGCAAGTTCTGTTGTTTCATAGCGAGTAAGTTGAAGGGTTGTGTTGGATACAGAATCTTCTTAAATGTTGTTATCTTCCTTTCTGCAGGAAGCAAGTGTGGTCTTTGGGTGTTTTCAACTCATTTATTATCATGCTTTAAGAGGATAAAAGACATCTGAGTTAGACATGTTTAATGGGCTTCCAGAACTATCTCTTCACTCTCCTAGAAATGTGGAAGAAATACCAAAGAACATACTGCAATTACCACTTATCATCAGCCATTATGCCTCAATAATACAGATACTTATTTTTAATTGTCCTGTGTATTATGTATTAACCATACTGCTGATTTGTGTTATTTTTGACTTGCTTCTTGGCACAAGAACACTGTGACACTGAATCATACATGTAGAAATCAGTAGTCATTCTAAAAGGTACAAAGGGTTGATCAGTTGATTATACCCCTGTATCAGCAGTAAAAGCTCAGGATATCCAAATATCATACTTGCTCAGGATTTCTATATTCGCATATCAGCAATTAGTTACAAGGATACCCAATATATTTAATTCTCTAGTGAGCAGCTGATCATTCACATAGAGGACTATAACCTTCCTCAGCTCTTTATATGTTCATGGTGCAATTCTTTTTTCTTCAAATTTCTGATTAGTTAACGCTTTCTATATAATCATGTTATCAATCCTTTTATAAAAATGAGCAGGCACAGGATTATATATTTGTGAAAGAATTTGTCCCCTTTCTAGCAAGTGTTCTGCTAAAGGCTTGGAAGCACTCGGATGATGAATCAGACATGGAAATACTCTTAGGTGGTATGGCATCTTTAAGTGATGAGCTAGCTTGGTTTCGAAAAGAAGCTTCCAAGTGGGACGTTAAACTAGTTGGTATTGTTCCGCAAAAGGCTAATCTGGAGTATTGCAGGTAACTTTTCCTGGCTCTAACCAAAGTTTAAAATCTCAGTTTAATATTGATTTTGATTCCTTGTTGGGCCGATATGATACCAGGCGATCACTGTCCTATACCATCTAATATCACCAATAATAATAATAAAATAATGAAGACCAATTGATTTAGAGCTATGTGGTCCACTGTTGGTCCTCGATTGGACTGGTGAAAATTGGTCAGGTGCATATGGGTATATGAAACCATAGGTCTACCTTAGGAGCATATTTTCAAACATATTGCCTTTTCTCCCATAGAATCATCGTCAAGATCCGGAGAACATAATTGCAAATAATTATTCGTCGAAGAACTAGGAACATTTTTCAATCTGTGTTCTTTGAGATATCAGACAAAACCCTTCTTCTTGAGATTAAAGTGGGAATCCCAGATAGTTGCAACTTGCAAGCATAGCAGATAAAGCTAAATACTTTTAATGTCAATGACAGGTTTCTACAAAGTTTGATGCTTCCAGAGGTCGATTATGCTGTAGCCATCACTGCTTTTTGGGCCATTGAAACTGTCTACCAGGAGAGCTTCTCTCTCTGCCTTGATAGCAGTTCAAAGACTCCAGAAGAACTTATGGAGACCTGCCAGAGATGGGGCAGTGCTAATTTTGGGCACTATTGCCGCTCGCTACAAAAGATTGCAGACAGGTGCTTGGAGAAGGCTTCTAGTGATATTATACGAAAGGCTGAAGAAGCTTTTGTTTGTGTTCTTGAGCATGAATTCAACTTCTGGAACATGAGTTGTGGTGAATGAGGGCAATGTTATTAGGATTGTGTAATACTTTGATATATGGAACACAAATCTTCAAGTAGATTTTTAGATGATTTTATGTGACAATGGTCAAATTGGTGAGACATGTCTGCCAGTAAACCAAGACAGTTCAGTTAAATGTCCTATCAGAAGTTTCAGCCAATGTAACAAGGTGAACTAAACTATGATGTATTTGTTCTTACATATGCCTTATCACTGATTGATTTTGGCAAGAGCTGCAAAGTTGTCTAGAGTTGATTGTCCTCTCACAAGTCTTGAAGAAGCCCACTATCAAATTAAATTCTTTACACAAGGTTGGAGTATCCAGGTGGGAGAAAGAAGCCCCCAAGAGCAGGTAAAAGAATTTTCTTTCAGTCAATCCAGCATTGCATTCTTAAGAAGAGATACATACCCATGCTATCTTTGTAACCTGGTACAGCAATGCCACCACTCTGTATGGTGTGGGATTCATCAACCAAATGAAAGATGCCACCAAAAAAACAATTTGCATAAAAGATTAATACCAAATATACACTTTGTTATTTATTTACATTGAATCCCAAATTTGTTGTGATCATTAATTTACCAAATGATGAAAGATGCCAACTTGTTTTATGATATCATGTTTTAGATGTTACTCACAAAGGAGTTGTTTCAAAGTTATAAAATAAAAAAAAGAGTGTCTATAAAAACTATGCATGCAATGGGTGAGGAAATAATATGTTATTAGAAAAAAAGATGAATCATCCAAGAATATAATTTTAAATACCATAGATGATGTTTGGAGTTTTTTCCTATGCAGGATAGAAGAAGGGCTTTAAATTCTACTAATATTAAAATGATTCATCATAAAATACAGAGAAAAGTTATGCTTAAGCTATTTCCCTCTTTGCATACAGGCAATTGTTGACAAAAAATTGATTTCTCAACAATAAAGTTTCTGAAATTGCAATCTATTTTTTAATATTAAAATATTATACAATGAAACAATTGAAAAGGAGAGTTAACATGTACAAGCATGCTTTCACTTTCCTCTTTAAATAAATATAAATTTTTTTAGTAAAACATTTTAATTATTAAAATTTTCATAAAACACTTTTGACTGAATGAAAAGATCATTTTATCCATATCTCTTCGGGCCAATGTCGTCTCCTGTAATACACTATTGACTCTTCTCCATCGCTCATGTGTCCTCTTTGGACCTAAGGATATTGTGGGCTAGCTCGTATGCAGAGAGAGGTGGTCGACATGACTAGCCTGCCCACAGAGGTATAGATCAAGAAAGAGGAGAAGGGTAGCCAGTAAGACTAACTTGCACGAGAAGGTGCAAGCATAACGAGTCAACCCATACACAGAGAAAAACAACCGTAGGGATCAACTCACTTGCGAAGGCACATACGATTTTTGAATAGTGCTTCCCAAATTTGTTTGCACATAATTAAAAACTAGATAATAATATTATATAATATAATTGATGAGATAGTAAGCATTAAGAAGGTAGATGAGAAGGTTGGTGATGTAAATAAAATTATTCCATTTCTTTCCTTAGAGACTAAGGAAAGAATCTTGTTTTGATCATTCCAACTTGGGATTTATTTACTAACCCTCCATTACTAACAAAAGAAATATTATCCTAAAGGAATATTCCCACCTACACATTGGATCTAACGAAAGGTTACAGTCAAAGCCAACTAATGTTTCTGATTTTTCACTTTCCGAGTTCTTTTACATGTCTCTCCTTTAATATATTATTCAATAAATATATTTAAATGTTACTTCGTTTGGTGTCCTAATAAACCCAAATCATTTTCATCGATTATTTTATTTTCTTAATTTTTTTAATTTTAATATTTATATGCGTGTGTAATATGATTATTATCTTTGGAAAACTGAGACTCAGACATATGAGTCCAATTAGCACTTCTGGATGTATTATCTTAATTTTTAAAGATCGAAATAGCTTATCGAATATACACTAAATATTATTTTATTAAATAAGTATTTAGAGACTATACAAAATAGTCTCTATCAAGGTCTGTCATACCGAATCGTACCGTCCGGTACGGGCGGTACGTACCGGTCCGATAGACTATCGGTACGCAGACCGTTCGCTATCGGACGGACTATGCTACAGTGTACACTGTAACAGTGTTACAGGCTGGTGTACTGTTCAATACATCTTAATGTATCACTCGGTACGTCGGTACCGTATTGTATTGAGCCAATCTCGAAACACCGATACGATACGGTATTGCTTGATCTCTATACATATCTAATTTATTGAACTTATACTAAATTTCTGATCATTTTTTTAATGACTTGATCATTCAAGAGCTCATAAACAAGAAAATAAGAAATGAGATATGATATATATTTATTTTATATTCTTGAACTAAATAGAAAATATGAGTTATATATAAATAAATTTTTTATCCTCAAGTGAAATTCTCAGTCAAATTTTTTTATCTATAATAACACTTAGAAATGATGGATTTAACAATGAAAATTATTTAGTTGGAATATTAAAACTATTATATCTTTTAGACTTGTATTAATGTTGAATTTAAGAAAATATGAACTCATTTATTATTTGTTATAGCACCATGACTCTTACATTTTTTTGTATTTTCTCATTCATTTGATTTTTTTGATCTTCCGTAATATTAGGATCTACTACATCATACTCAACAAAATCAAATAAATAAATTTTTATTTTAATAATTTAAAATTGATTATATATATATATATTATGAGTTTGTGTGAGGATGTTTATGTAATTTTACCGATACTTTTTAGGAACCTGTAGGGAAGCTTCCCTTCCGGGCGTTACATAGTTGGCAAGTTGAACACGCTTCCTTGACAGCTCTGCTCCTCCAACCATGGCGTTCCAGCGCACGAAACCACCGCATCGAGCCGGCCCAGCTGAAGTCATCGCCCACGTTTGAGGGCACCGAAGTAGACGATGACGTCGTCCCAAAATGCCCCGGCTTCCTCTATAAATAGACAAGCCGATGGCTTCTTTTCCCTTCTTTCATTCGTTTGGTTGCTGTGTGGGTGGGTTAGGTTTTGGCTTCCGTTCCAGATAAGTGTTCTTTGTCTCCTTTCTTTCTCTGTTTCCTTTCCTTTTCTTAAGGGTTAGTTCCTTTCTTTGGTTTCTGTGGCTTCTGGTTTATCCTTGGCTGGGATCCTTCTTAGGATACACCTCCGGGTTTAAAATCTGATCTTTCGGGGTTGATTTTGGCTTTTGGGTTGTTGTCTTTTAGCCCCGATCCTCAGAATCCGATCTTTGGAATCGACCCTTCCGTTTAGAGAGCTTGCGCTTCTCAAAATCTGTTATTTGGAGGCCAATCTTTTCTTGAAAGATCTGTTATTTCGGTGTTGGTCTTTGTTCTTGCAAGTAATTAGAGGGGGCTGATGATCTTGATGTTTTCGTCTCTAATTCTGTCGAAAACCAGTTTCTACCCTTTATGAATCTTGCTACTCTCAGCGTCTGCTTCCTCCACTCCTTCTCCGTGGTCCTCCTCTACTGGTTCTATGTGATCTCATGAACTAAGTCTCTTTGCGTGATCCAGTCATTTCATTTCATTTTTTTCCGTTCAAACCAATTTCTATTAGCTTAGAATCAGAGAACCACCCCTGCTAAAGAGTATGTCTTCCATTCCGGTCCGCCGCGCTTCGAGTTCTGAAGGAGACTCGCAGCCGACGTCCGATGAGAGGAAGAGAAAGAGGATGATTTCGAACAGGGAGTCCGCAAGAAGGTCTAGGATGAGGAAGCAGCAGCATCTCGATGATCTGATAAACCAAGCCGAGCAGCTCAAGAACCAAAACAGCCAGATCGACGTGCAGATCAATCTGGCGACACAGCAGTACGTCAAGGTGGAATCTGAGAACGCTATTCTAAGGGCTCAGCTGAGTGAATTGACAGAGAGACTGCACTCGATCAACTCTGTTCTCCGTTTCATTGAGGAGGTCAGTGGAATGGCCATGGACATACCGGAGATACCAGATCCTCTCCTGAAGCCATTGCAGCTTCCCCGTGCGGCACAACCAATCATGGCCAATGCTGACATGTTGCAGTTCTGAAATGTCATTGTTGTGTAAGGTCTATCTAGCATGTGTCTCCATTGATTGGGCTATTAGTTCCTTGTTTTGCTGCTTATGCTTTCATCTTGTTGAGTCGCAGTAAATTAGCTTTTTCTTTGGTTCGAGTCAGTAAGTGATGTATGGTTGTGTGCTTATTGTAATTTTACCTTTCAGCAATTGTTGCTTTGGCTGCTTATAAGATTTTCTCTGATTATAACATTTGCATGTGATTTTTGTTATTGTTGATTGGCGTAGATCTTGAAATGAGAACAAAATGATTCTTTCAATGGTCTTTAGTATCTCTGGCTTTAGTTTTATGTTATAGTTGTTGTCATCTCTTCAAGGTTTTTACTATGTCATTTGCAAACATTCATTGGATGTCCATGATGTTTAGGAACACCTATCGGATAATGATTGCATCGGCACTGCTTGAATTCAGTTCAGAGCAAATAATCTGTGCTTTCAATTCTAAATCTTATATATATGGATGTCACTGTGTTAACCGAACAAAGTGGTCATGAATTTGGTTCTTTAAAAAATGGGCAGATCGTCTATTATTACATTTGGAACTGCAGAAGTGAGAAACTTCTTCCTAATTAGCTCTATGAGACAGATTGTCTTATAAGTCAACGGTAAACTCTAAATGCGCTGTTCACAGATGCATGCACATGTTTTCATATCTTTTAGTTAAAGTTAATCAAGCTCACTGTTTCAGGATGCTTTCCTTGTTGGCTCTTTGCAATTATCAAACTTTCCTTTGGTTTTGAAGGACTCTTTATTAGTGAGCACAGTAGGATGCTTTTTCATATGTTTACTAATAATCTCTCTAGGATAAGTAGGAACTTGTGAATCTTGGTTGTCTGAAAACCGAGGCGATAATGCACTCTCTTATACTGTCAAAATTTGTACATTGCCGTTGTTTCTGAAATACTAATGGATTTTCTCTTTGCCAACCTGACCTAAACTATTCTCTATCAACTAATGGCTGACATAACACAATCATCCTTGTCATTATTTAACTTTTGCTGTATCTGAAACCCATACTTATAGCTGAATCAGCTAATGATCTAATTATACTTGGGAAAAACTCAGAGAGGCTACTTTGAGACAATGTGACTTCAATGGCCTACTAAAATACATGTATATTGATGGTAATCAAAAGGCCTCTGTTCTCTACTTGTTGCTACTGCAGAAGCTTTACCTGGAAGATGTTTGCTTTATTTGAAACCAACGTTCTCCATTCTTGGTTGATGCTTACTCTGTGCAGGAAGGATGCTACTTGTGCTTGTTTCTGCCTCTGGTTTTCCATCTTGAGTTCCGTAACAAACAATCTGTGCTCTACTATATCTGGTCTTAATCTCCATCCACACAGATGTAGCTTGAAAACTCTGAAACATATTTTTGATGCCTCATGGTGTTTCTGAATGTTAATATATGCTTTGTTAAGTCTCCATGAGCAATCATTATTGAGGGTCGGTGATGGTGATTGCATGACTTTGTAAATTGTTTCCTAGCCCAGGTTATATGATTCTTCAATTAATTATGTTCTTTGCATGCTACAGGCATGGCCAAATCTGTAGTTGAAAGGCTATTTCAACTTATTAGGTAGACTAGAATCAAGACAGGTGCCATATTGATCATGCTTGTGCACTATATATATTCTCTGAGTCACTGTCACCTTTGATTTTTTATGCATAAATACATATTATATTGATGGAAAACCACTCCTTTACCTACACCCAACATAATATGATGCCAGTTATAATGTATACAGTGAGCCATGTTAGGTGGAATCTTCCTTGGAAGCAACTTTATTAACAATGTCAAAAATTGCAGCCTCTAATGAAGCTACTAACATGCTTCATTCTTGCTTGATACTCTTTTTACATGCACATTCCAGGCTGCTATTTAGCTTGTTTCTGCCACTCAATTGCTGCATCTTCTCTCCAACTTGAGCAAGACTTTGTGCAAGATTTACAATTTATCACCTGTGCTTGAGTGTTTTCACCCAATTTTGTGGTACATATATTCTAGTCTTGACCTTATGGACCTTGTTGTTGCTTGGAATTTAGTGAAAATATTTCAAATTTCAGTATGATATTTCATAATGTTGATACATCATGCTGAATCTTTATGTGCATAGTCATGCTATGGATTAATGAAGTGAACAAGTGTATCATCAAAATTCTTGTATTTCTGTTCTGTTTCAGGTTGTACCACTACCTAATTAACTTGGTATTTTGGAAATCAAGGCATGGCTAAATCTGTCATCCAAGGGTTGTTCAACTGAGAAATGGTATTGAAGTTTTGGCATTTAGTAGCTCAAATCAGGGCTGCCACCAACCACAAACAATGACATGGAGACCATATTGATCATTCTTGTGCACTTCACAGAAAATGTTAAAAGTCACTGTTGATTTTGATCCTTCAATTTAAAATGTAGTGATCAGCCTCCACCAACACCTCACACCAAGGCCATGTTCATTTATAAATATAGAGTTAGGCCTTTGCCTTTTGTGTATATATATATTCAACTTTGAGACATATTTATGCATATCTCTCTCTCTACCTTTCTGAATTTGATATTTGCACTTATACCCTTGAAAGCTTGGCAGATCTGCCATATTTTTCTTTCATATTATCTCTATGAACAGAGTTTGGTACCAATCTGATGTATCTAAAACACTCAACTCTTCTTCACCATTAGCCAAAATATTGCCCCTTAGCAATTTATTTTGGGCCTATCAACATCTGAGCATTACTGTCTGAAAAATTAGTGGGGATACAAGTATTTTCTTCACTGCTTGATGATAAAAACTTTACATTCATGAAGAAGGGTATCATAATGAACAAACTACACTCTTTGTGGGCAATTGCAAATGAAAAGTATTTACTATATATTTGTAGAGTCCTGCAGCAGAGATGTAAATAGGTAATAGTTATTTTAGATAATAATGCTATTGAAAAGATTGAAATGACTTTATGATCTTGCAGAGATGATTTTATGCATGAATCTTGCACAAAATAAAATAAACATACAAAAATAGCCTATTGCTGTGTGTGTCTCCAACAAGATATTAACACCAATTTCCCATTGCCTTCATTAAATAGTGAGTACATAAACTGTATTGCTATTGCAGAGTCAAAGCAGCTGTAATACAATAGAGTTCAGATGCAAGTAGAAGTTTAGGCAGAGAGAAGCCACCACAAGTTTCTGCAAGCATCATGCAGTGACGCAGTGTGTCTGGATCACCTTCTCCACTGCCTCTCCTCGATTACTACTTCAGTTGTCGTAGGTGCGGCACTCGTCGGTCTCGGGGTTGTCCTTGCAGTAGTTCTCCAGGGGGTCGGAGTCAGTCTTGAGCTTGTCCCTGGCGTGGCTCGCCGCGGCGCTGAGCTCCTCCACCTCGTCCCACGCCGCCGCGCACTCCCCGGCCACCGCGTCCCCCGCGCACGCCTCCTCCGCCTTCTTGATGCTCTCCGAGACCTTCTCGGAGATGTCGGGCGGCGTCGACGGCGCGCTCGCCACGAGCACCGTGCTGCGGCGGCGGCGAACACCGCGGTCGAGCAAAGGGAGGAGCCTTGCGTGGGTCTGTCGCGGCCTAAGCGGCTCCGCCTTCACGAACACAGCCCTTCGGGTGGAGAGGCTCACGCCACATACTGTCGTCGCCATGGTTACTGCCTGCATCTTCTTGCGGTTGGTGCTGTGAGTGGGAGGCTGCAGTACTGAGGTATTTGATTGGTTTCATGGTGCATTGGAGGACACACATTTCTTATCTTCTTCGAGCCAAGTGGAGGGCACGACATCCACAGGCTCGTAGATATTTACTGCACCTTGGAGTGGTACAACGTGAACGAGTGAAAGACTACTGTGCCATTAGTATGACCACACAAAGTTCTTATAGTAACCTTAGGCTGCAGTGTAGCGTGTGCTTCGCTTCCGAAAGGAACGAGGAAGGGAAGAACCAGTGGTGGTGGCAACCATCTTATTCTGTATATAACATTATCGAGAAAGGAAAAATTAGATGGAAAAGTAGAGAAGTAATGACATGTTGACTTCAAATGGATCTCGAGGAGCAGTAGTTGACTTAACCCAAAGTCAAAATCTGAGTGATGGTACAAAGAACTCTCTGACTGATGGTCTAATTTCTAAGATCAATGAGTATTATTGCTTAAGCCTAAAGCGTTAATGATTCTTACTCTTAATCTCTTATGCAATCAATATAAAAAGCAAAAGAAAATTTTTCCAGGTAAAAAAGGAGAAAAAAAAAGTAATATAATAATCAGTAAAATTTTTTAAAAATGTGTTTATATATATATATATATATATATATATATATATATATATATATATATATATATATATATTTCAAACGTAGTTTTAGTATGGCGCGGGAAAAAAGGGCATAACCACTTCAATTTGGCGGGTGAGTTCGGTTACGGAGGAAGTGATTATAAGATGGGATTCCTCTCCACTTCGCGCGCTTCTCTCTGTGTAATTATAGAGACTCCGGCGTTGGTTGTATCGGTGGAGGTCCGCTCGCTCCTCCGATTGTCGATCCTCGAACCAGTGAGCGCCGCGCCCTGTGAACCCCTGACTCATTCGAGGTAAGCGCGCTTCAATCCGATCTAAACCTTCCTCCTCCTCGATGTCGTCGATCGACCTCACTTGAACCGGGAGGTGCGCATCAAGAAGTAGGTAAACTATTGATGAGCATCGCTGCGGTTCGATCTTTGAACAAGAATTGCACGGATCCTCTCGGATAGGTGTTTAGGGTTAATACTTATGCTTCTTGAATAGGGAGTAATCTGTGGTGACTTTTTGTGCTTTCTTCCATGATTTGATAGATTGGGAATTGGGCAAGTCCTAACAGTAAGAATTTTCTCTGTTCTGGTTGATCGATGAGAGCAATGGAGGCATGTTATGGTCACCATGTTCTAGTTGATCCGTTTCTTAACTCTGCTGCCACGAGCCTTTTCTTTGGGGGATGGTGACTGTTTCTTTCTCCTCCCATTCACTCCCTCTGCTAGCTTGGGAGGGAACCGAAGGCGGCCTCCTGCCTCATTGTAGGCTGACCGCTGGAGATCAGCGGTTACCTGGACGTGCACCTCCGCCACCTGGATTATGATCTGTGGTCTTTTCAGTGCCTTCAACAGGTTGGTTGGTTAGGGAAATCGAGGCACAGCATTTGCCTCAGGGAAGGGTGTTGGGATATGAAAGCGTCCACTGGTTATCAGGTTGGGTTTTAGGGTTTAGGGCAGTCCGGCCCACAAACAGAGACGGAAAAGGACTTGAAAGCATCTACTCGAGCTCGTCTTATTTGAATTACATCAAGTTCAAACTAGAATTTAGTGTTTGTTATTCTTGACAAGTCAAGCTTGATGCATGACTAGGTTGGATCATGTTTGACTTGAAAAGGACTCAGTTTGAAAGAAAAATTGATTTTATTATACGATATAGATTTTGTATCCTATATGTATCATCTACAGTCGATTTAATGGATTTTATATTACTAGTCTGTAGGTCTTCATATCATTGTTGGAATCTCATTGTATATTTTGATATATTTTAGGTTGTATATATTTATAGTTCTCTGATATTTCTTTTCTATTTTCAGATTTGCTGTAGTTATCTTGGATTACTATTCCTTGCAATATCAGTGATCAGGATGAGTGAAGCAAAGGTACACTAATTCTAACAAAATTATCTGATATTTCTTAGTTTGCCTGCAATTTAAGTAGATTTGGATTTACTCTGTTGAACACTAACTGTACTTATGCTGTTTTTTATTTACAGATAGATCAAGAATCAGGTCCTCTGGGCCTGTGGTTGAACAAAACTGAATCATTTGTGAACTCCATCCATATGAAGCTGCAAAGGAAGATTAATCTTTCAAGTGAATTAACTCAAAATAATAGCTTGGAAGAACAAAATACAGGAAATGATAAGCACAATGCTGAACCTCGAGCTGATAAATTAAGAATTATCAATGTTCCAGTACTGATGCTGAAGATTGGTTCATGGCAGGTAGGTTCACTTTCTATGAGCTGAAGCAAATATTAAACTTAAGCTTAGTGTTCAATGTTTGTAATTCAGTAATTACCTCTATTGCCTTTGTAGTGTGTATCGGTGGGTGAAGGTGATATAGCAGCCAAGTGTTTCTATGGTAAAAAGAAATTTGTGTGGGAGATGTTAAGATGTGGATCTAAGAAAAAATTCGAGATCCAATGGTCTGACATCTCGGCAATTAGAGCCCACTTCGCTGACAAGCAACCTGACATCCTAGAAGTTGAGGTTAGACTTGATTCCCTCTATGAAAAAGCATTATTCAGTTGTACATTTCCACTTCTCCTATATGAGCAAACAAATTATGTTTTTGTACGAATATTCTGTTCAAAATTATACCAAAAAAATTTCAGCTAAAAATGTTGGCATATTGTTGTTTTCATGTGACTTATGGATAATTTTTGGGCAGCTAAAAAAACCACCGCAACTCTTTGAACAAGTTTCTTCTGATCCAAGAAGGCACCCCATGTGGCAACCAATTCCTGATTTTACTGAAGATCAATCTCGCTTATATAGGTATGTAAACTTAAACTTTGCTAGTAATGCTTTCTTTTATTATTATTTTTTTTGGTGAGAAAAAAATTTCTTATATTTACAAGAACTGTACAGGTACATAATAAGCCAAAACACCTCATTAAACAGAAAATTTTAAACTAAATTCTACAAGCTACCAACTATGATGTGGAATTGAGCATCTTTGAAATATCTATTTAGCTGACAAGAAATAGAAAGAAACATCAAGTGAGTAAGGATAGCAAACACTTCAGAGGTAAACTCCATAAACTTCAGTCTGGGCAAACCTATAGATCTTGCATGATTCCAAAATTCATTCAATAGATCAAGAATCTCCATCGTAATTTTACTGCCTTATCTGTTTGAGCTTGAATAGCCCCAGAATATTTAGCTTTGGTTGCATTTTATAGACATGTTCTGCTTCATGAAATTTTACAGGACTTAGAGTCCAGTTATGGCTAAGTGCTTCAGCGAAATAGATTCCTCCATGAACTACCAAAAGAAACTCTCTTTTACAATCATCCTCAGTCATTTTAGCCCTCGTTTAAAGCATAAAGCCAATGTTGAGATGCCACTCATATAAGCCGAGTTCCTCCACATTCTCTTTGTGATGAAGCATTCAGAATTACCATATTAACCTACAAAGTTACCATATTAACCTGGCAAAGATACATGCAGAAGCCTGCAAAATCTCCATTTGGTCAAATTATCCTGAGCAGTAGTTTACCCAGAGCAAGCAGTGAAACTACAAAAGAAAGTCTAGAATTCTTTGCTTAAATGAAATCAAGTTAGGTCAACTGATAGTAGCATTCTTTTATATTAAATCTCTTGATTTCTTATGATTTTATATTAAATTATTTCAGTTTCCTGCTTTTCCAAGAGGAAAATTCCATTTCCTGCTAAGAATAACATCTGCCATCGTTTCTTTCTTTCCCACCTCCTTGGATCAACCAGCACAATCACACCAGAAGAATGCCTTACTGCAATTGTTTTGCCTCAATTCAGTTTATCAAATCTTATGATTAATATGTACATTCCCTTTCTATAATCGCACTGAATAAGCGGACTGTTGGTTGGCCTCCATTTCAGCTATATTTCTATGTTTTTAAAGTTTGCAATCGATCTGAAATGATACCAAAATAAACTGGTTTTTCTTAAATTGTAATTATAAAGTGCAATAAGATCCTTCTTCTTTACAAAGTTTATGCACTTGTCTATATTTCTTTCAGGAGACACCATCTTGAGTTCAGAGAAGGGAGTTTCCGGAAACCTTATGACAAATTATTGCTCGAAAACAAACACTTGTTTAGGTTGAGTCACAATTTGTTCGAAAACGATATGTCTCCACTTTTTCGGGTGGTCCGCAGTGGGATCCAATATTCTAGCACCATCCCACAGTTGCTACACATGTTCAACCAACAAACTAATAACTTGTATCACTCATTCACAGACCATTTTGGTAATCAGGGAACTACAGATCTTTCTACTTGGTATGTTGGCAATTCTGGATACATGGCTCAGTCTTTTGGTGCTAATTTGCTGACTGGACAACCTGTGCCACCATTTAGACTCGCTGATGAGAACAAGCCAACCAATTTGGGATGTACCAGTGAATCTGTTGATGCTTATTTGCCAACTGGTTTTCTGCCACCAACTGGACTTGCTGATGATAAGTGGCCAAGCTCAGGTTTATCTTGCTCATCAACTTACACATCTACATCAATGATCATGTTATTTAACTAAATTTGTGTTTTTTCCTCAATTTGTAAGATATTGCATTTCTGGCAGCAGCTGCTGCGGATCATTCAAGAGTTGTGAATCATATACCAAATATGGATAACAGAGCCTCAAGTTCAGGTGCGCACTAACCTCCCTTTATTGTATGCGGCCAATCTAGTGATTAATCTAACCCTTCTTTTACTTAATTTTAGAATCTGCACTAACCTCCCTTTATCTTATGTAGCCAATCTAGTGATTAATCCTGGCACATGACTCAATCTGCAATGGTTGCGGGATTCTTACTGGAAGATGACTAGCAAAGTATTGTTAACAACAGCATGGTTGTTGACAGAGAGAATGTGCTCGAGTCATTAATCAGCATGATTCAACCAGGCTCACAATCTGAAACCTTAAACCATGAACCAGAAGAGTAAGGATTTATTTAGATAATGATGTAGACCAACATCATAACTTGTGCATTGGTAGATTGGTTTAACGTTGTTTTCAGTCTTTCCAAGGACAATGTGGTTTTAGTTCATTATTGCCACAGATTTATGGATTTATTACATCTTTGGCTGGAATTCCAACACCGTCACCAGAATCTTAATCTTTATACGCTTTTGCAACTATCAAAACACAGATTCGAGGATATATAGCATCCCGTGTATAAGTAAGAAGACCACCTCCAAAAAAAATTCAGCTTTGATCATTGTCATGTAACACATTGTGCAGGTATAATTTTAAGGAGAGAAAAATAGAAAAAAGATATTTCATTTTGAGTTGTTGAGTTCCTGTCCCCCAAACATCAGTTTTAACTGGACAAGACAGGACTGTTCTCTAAGAAAAAGAGAGAAAATCACATTTCAATTCATGATAATTAGAATCTAAAGAACACAATTTGCAGAAAATTCATGACACAGTATAGGTTATTAGCTATTAGCATCTTGAAATCAGATATCCCTTGGCAAAAATTTCACTAAAAACCCAATGAGTTTGGACTCGATAAACCTTACTAAGATATGAGACCAGGTGTTAACCATCCACTGTAGAATAGTAGCTTTTGTTACATCCAACAACCATATTCATAACTCAGTACATCAAAAAAAAAACAACCAGCTAATGGTAGTCATAAATAAGGAGGTTGTAGTAATTACTCCGTCTTCTCATTTTCGGTTTGACCAATCTGAAGCTTCGAAATCCAGAAGCTGAGTTGTTCTGCAACACATTCTGAACCTGTCGACCCGTAGGAGGAGAACTTGTTAACTGAATTTTCAACTCCTAGAAAATCATAAACATCCTCCTTGAAGATGGAATTAATTCCCTGTAGCTGGTCAAGAGGAAGCTCCGAAAGCTGACAGTTTCTTGAGACACATAAAGCCACACACCTTCCAACTATCTCATGAGAAGTCCTGAAGGGCAGCCCCTGTTCAACGAAAATGCAAACATGAGAGGAATTTTCAGAGCCAAGTGGAAAATTGACAAGTGCAAACAAACAACAGAAATAAAAGACAAGAAATTGGTAAAGAGATAAATGTAATGAGTGAGCTGCTCATGAATAATAAGAAGCAAGCCCATGGGCCTTTTATGCATCATTTTGAACTGTATGGAACATTCTTAGCAGGCCTATTCCTTTTAGAGCTTTATCTATTAACAAGATTGAAAAGTAAAAATATTTTACAATGATGACAAACTTCCATGGAAGTCTCCAAAGTGTTCAATTGAAAAAAAAAACAGAAAAGAAGATGAATCCCTTAAAGCTACCATGTTGCCTTGATTTCTTGAACTTCATAACTAAAAAGATCATTGGTTTTAATAACAGAAGCAACTTGTAGAACAGTTTGGAATTTTTTGGGGGTTGGACAAGAATATTAAGGTCATTACGAACTTTGTAAAAAAAAAAAAAAAAAACTATTCTGTATCGATTATCAAAAGCAACAATAGATTTACCTTGTTCACAAGATAATCAGCAAGGGTAGTAGCATCAAGATGTCCAGCTGGCAAAACTTTTTGTATTCTTGCATGATTGAATGCGATGTTCTGCGCGAATTCAGTTGTTACTTCAAGCATCCCCAGTACAGTCTTAACACTGTCAAATAGAGGTTCTTTGTCTTCCTGTTTCGAGAGAAATTGTCCTCGCCGTCATATAGAAGCAACAAAAATTATGAAATTCTATATCTCAAAGGAAAATGGAAAAAGCATTTTCAGTGGCAAATATATACTTGTAGATCACGATTGTATGCTTGCGGAAGCCCTTTGCATAGAACAAGAAGGGTCATAAGATCTCCTACAACTCTAGCAGATTTTCCACGGACAAGTTCCATAGGATCTGGATTTTTCTTCTGTGGCATAATGCTGCTTCCAGTAGATACTGAGTCGCTTGGGGTCAAGAAACCAAACTCCTCTGATGCCCACAAAACCCACTCCTCACCAAGCCGTGAAAGATGAACAGCTGCTATTGAATTAGCTGACAGAAACTCCAGGACAAAATCACGATCTGATACTGCATCAATGCTACACAAAAGAGATATTTAAGGACAAATCAAACAGCACCTGGATGAAAAATGATAATCGCAAGGAGAAATCGTGAAAAAAAATTATATTCAACATAAATTTTTTTATCATTAGTTTCTTTTGTATTTATTTATAGTCATGAAACTAACAGAACATTGCAGTTGACCAGGAAAATCCTTTCTGAAGTTTCATCTTGAGAATCCTTAAGTAGTAGCATAGCCACATTGAATAAAGATTAACTGCTAGAAAGTGTCAATTAATGCATGTTGCAACCCCGGAGTGATAAAGAGTCACCAACTGATTAATGGATATCAGCAGAAGCCTTAAAACACCTGATAATGTAATGTCGAACTATCTACTGAAAAAAAGATGTAATTCTAAATTAACAAATTGCAACAGCCATATTTACATAAATCACCGTTTGATTTTCATTCATCATGACAAATATTTCACATCAATCTAAATTTAAAAATTAACTATAATACCAATAGTTACAAAACAAGGGATTGGGAGATTTTAGTTGATTTATCCAATAAATAGAAAAAGATGTCCTACCGTTTCCACATAATGGAAAAAAAACTGAGGACCAAAAGGACATCCAGGGAAATTCTGTTTTAGAAGCACCCCAAATAATGCCCTTATTTATGACTTGCAACATAGGGACTGTCTAAATCTTTGAACTAATCCATCCATGCTTACACTTATTTAATGCAGATCATCTATTTTCTTTTTTCTTACTTCTTCTAAATCCATATTGTGGAAGAAATTCTGTAGGTATATGTTGGTTTGCAGGTCCAATATTACAACTTTGCAGTGTCATGGGTAAAGGTCTTGAATGTTTTGATGGTCCACCAAACAGAAGTGTAAACAGCTAGCATGTAGCTTGAAGAGATCAGAACTAAAAAAGATACCCGAACAATGTAGATATCAGAAGACCACTTTTAACTACATTAACTTGTTTGTGAGAACCTTACACAACAAGACAAAAAGGTGAATGAGAACCTTTGTTATTAGATCTCACCAGTGGAAATGTAATTAACAAGTCACTGGAACATTTAAATTAACCATTATAAAAGCAAACGACATGCAGTCATCTTTTTCACTTTCACTAAGATATGAAGCCTCTTCCCTTACCCCCCTCTTCTTTCAGATAAAGTTGTCTTTTTAATTATTTATCAAAACGTCTATGTGTTTCCCCTCCTCAAGTCTACATGAACATTCAGATATGGGTATAATTTGCAGATTCTCATTTGAACTAACAAAAAGCATCCTGTTATGTAAAATGATGAATAGAGATAAGCCTAGTAAATAGATGAAGTCTGGGCTGGATAAATTATTGAGATGACCTTCCATGTATAAAATCCATGATGGCAGCAATGTGGGTCCTGTGGAAAGTCAACTATTTGTACAATGGTGCACAGGAGACATCAACTTTAGAACATAAGTGACTAAAATGATAAAAAAATGGTGTTTGTAGAAACAAAATAATTTGTAATTGCTACAGATTTCTAAATAACTGATTTCTTTATTGTGATAAATCAATGAGATAATTGTCATCACATGATGATAATACTTAACAATCACATAAAATCAAATGGCAGGCAGTTCAGGCTGGAAACGGCTGGGTTGATGAAATACAGGTACGAAGAACAACAGATTAACTTTATTTAAAGTTATATATCAAAATAAATATACCTGTTTCTCATAGGAGCAGTAAATCCCAGAGCATCTGAAGTAAGAAATCTGTCAATAGGAAGGCCAGTACCAGCCAACGCACAAGCACCTAAGGGGCAGAAGTTCATCCGATCCTTGCAATCAACCAGCCGACCGACATCACGTTCAAGCTACAACATATCACATCACTTACATAGTTATGCAAAGTTTAACTCAAAGAATTAACAGTCATCATTATAAAAAAAATATGCTCCTTGAAACATACATATCTGACCATAGTTTAAATTTTCAAATAAGTTAGAGCAAACAAAATAGTCAAATAACTCACATCTTAACTGAAAGAAATGACACACTGTCTATGATGCATCTTAAGATGGAAAAATCATCATACAGAAATGTATCCTCTTTGTTTCTCTAGATAAATCTTATGTCTTCTTCAGTTGATGCTTTATTAAACAAGACCATAGAAGGCAAGCCTAGAATGCCAAGTGGGAGCCAAAGGTGTTACCAAATGGAATTCTCAAGTCTAAGACTCGAATGATTGTCAAGCAGTGTTATTCTATGGACATATTATGATAGGTTTAAGAACCAGCAAAGGACCATTTCTGCAAGTTGTCATGTGAGGTCTATGATCATTATCAAGCCATTTTAAGTCTATTATTATACCTTAAATTCCTGAACTTAAGACCACCTTTCATAACAGCTTAATGTCTATTTTACAGGTCTATCTGTGACTAATAATGATGAACTCATTGTTCTGTAAAGCCAAAACCTATCTCAATTCCACATTTTATCTCAAGGTAAAACATGCCTAGTAGATCTTCTACAAGCACAAGGCTATGCGTATTGACCCACCCTAGACCTTGAATTGACATAAAGTCTCATGCATTAAATCCGCCACCCCTTACCTTAGGGTTAGTGCCAAATATTTGTATAGTTAAATCTTTGGGAGAAAGAATAAAGTGTAAAATCTACAACCAATACAAGATCTAAGGCTTGGACGGACAACATATTTTGAGTCTAAAGTTTCCAGATTTATCATTAGGAAATTAAACTTAAGCCAATCAGTTAGTTGTTTCTGGATAAAGGTATCCTCACCTGATAGCTGAATAAGTAGTGTTTAATATGTATGCTCACTAGCCATTCTTGACTTCATACGGTACTTGATACAGCCATTGTAAGCACTATCAAGCAAGGATTGCCTTTTCGGGTATCAGACTCGTTCCAGTAATTTGTCAGAACGATATGTACCGATCTGTACCAGTATACCAGCCCATGATATGCCAATGTATACTGGTTGTTCGGCAAGGAAGAAAAAGCGAGAAGTGGAAAGGGCGGTGGAGGAACAAAGGAGGAAGGAGGAAGGAGGAAGGAAGAAGGAAGAAGGAAGAAGAGGAAGAAATGGAGGAGGAAGAAGGAAGAAGAAAAAAGAAGAGGAAAAGAGAAGCGGCAATGGCGAGGCAACGGCATTGTCAAAGCATCAACGACAACGGCGAGAAAGCGTTGAAGCAACAATGGCGAAGTGGCAACAACAAGGCGGTGGCATCTTACGTGAGAAGAGGGTTATTATTTTCGTTTTTAATACTGATTTGGACAGGGCTCCACCATTTTTTTTGAATTTTCTATTAATTTAACTGGACCGCAAGAAACAGGATAGTCGACATATCGGCCCATGCTTAGACCGGTATATACTGCCCGTACCATACTGTTTTGGGTGGTACAGCAAATAATGCTATCAACAAACCAACATTTCATCCACTTGTAGGCATATACATAGGACCAGCTTACTGCTTTCATGATCCACAACAGTAAACTAGCCTACATCAACTACATTGTAGTGCACTTCATCTTCTCTAATGAATCAGCAATTTTCTTAGACCAAATGCTTCAACCATAGAGAAAGAGCTCACTAACCAGTGTTGACTTCACAAAGTACTTGACAGAGCCACTTTCAGCAATATCAAGGATCAAAAGTTATATACACTTGTGTAAGTATGACCAAGGAATCTGCTTATCACTGTCATGATCTACATTGGTAAACCAGCCCACATCAACTCCGGTGGAGTGTGCTTCACCTTCTCTACCAAAATGAAATTTTCTTTAGACCAAATACTTCAACCATCGGAAAAGTCTACATTATTGCACGAACTTATTCCCTCAAACATGCTTTTAAAATGAGTTTCTATATCTTGCCTCCTTTATTAAAGGCTATTATTGATTGAGAAATTCATACATGTTTCCTGACATTCTTGGTAATTATATTTCCATCTTCTATTTCTAACTTTTATTTGCCTACTATTCTCCAATTAGAAATAAATGTATGCAGGATTATTACCTGTTCAACATATGATAACAAGAGATGTTGCAGCAAGACAGGTTGTGCCCTCTGTAGATGAGTGTAACCAGGAACTATCAGTCCTTCATTGCTCAAACCTAATTTGATTAAGGCCACCTGAAAAATATAAGAATTGAATCATATTTCATAGAATGTCGTATGACCATTTTGAACAGGAAAAAGAATAGATCAAGTCCATCAGACCATTAAAGCAAGAAATCCTGTAACCATATGTTCAAGAAACTTTTCAACCTCACAGATCCATACATTATATTAAGATAACAATGTTTTTGTCAAGCTCAACATGCATAAAGATCATAGCATACTCTGAGACTCAGCATATAGGAACATCAAAATAGTTATATGCATGCCTTTAATTAACATGACCTCAAGCTGTTTCTAATAGCATAGATGTTTCTGGAGAGTATCCACAGGTTGAGACAACCGAAAATGGCATGTCTCTACATAACAATATATTGTACCAGATGCACAATTAATGAAAATAATCTGCAAGAGACAATTAATGCTTCAATCAAGAAATATAATTCAAAAGTGTAAATATTTATTTGAGGTCAAAATTAATTCCAACATACACAGTTGGTGGCTTGACAATGAATGTTTTCTTCTCTCTCTAGCCAATTTCGCATAATGTAATTATAAGAAATAGGTTAACATGAGCCTAAATAAATTTATTGATATGAAGTTTTAAACATGCCTCTCACCTGATCAAACTTATCAAATATTATGCATTTCATGCCAAATTAAGGAAAGAAGAGCAAAAAGAACCAACAAAAACTTGTATCAAGCCATGAGAATTTTACTTTGTAAAGTTAGATATAATATTACATTTACAATAGCATATGTCAAAACAGAAGGGTATATTTTCATAATTATGGTGCATATGTGGGAGTATGTGGGTAAGGAATTCAGGGATAATGAAAAAGGCACAATTGTCTATGTGGAGAATAACAATTAATGGTTTTTGTACATTCAATTACAAGATAAGCAGCATTCAGACAAAAACAATGAGATTTTCAGGGAAAAAATGCAACATACTAAATGAAATGTATGAACCTGAAGTTGTTTGATGGATGCCACAATTTTATCAATGGCTTCCCTACACCACAAGCGGAGATCTGTTACAACTTGATCATTTCGGCTTCTTGCGGTGTGGAGTTTTTTCGCAGGTTCCCCAATAATGTCTGTGAGTGCAGCTTCAATATTCATGTGCACATCCTCCCTATCCATTCTCCAAACAAACTCCCCTGCCTCAATTCTTCTCTCTATCTCATCAAGACCATGCAGTATGCTATCTCTATCGCTGACAGTCATTAAACCCTGCACCACAGTAATGATTAGAAAATGAAATGCCTTCTTCAGAAGAAATAAAGTGACAGAAGTTGATTCAAGAGTCGCTTCGTAAATATAATGCATTATAGAAACGCCCATTATACTTATGTAAACAGAATTTCTTTTCTAAAGTCTACTCTGAACTTGTAACTCACATAATATATGAAATTTAATTAATAAAGCATTTTGCGTTTAAAGTGAACACAATATCCCATTTGTTCACCAAAACTAGCATCATTGCATGGTCTAGTCATGTCCCTGACAGAAAATAGATGGTTTTCAGCATTGTTAGATGTTCTCAAGAGATGAGATTTGCATAAAATGGCTCAAGTAGTGTATCACAAAACCTAAAGTAGACTTCAACTCTATTCTCTTGGAACTCTCTCCATGCTGTAGATTTCTAAAAATCACCAACCAAAACATAACTAAATCATCCGTTCCACAGGATGATAAACATGATTATTTCATAGAAAAAGTTCTTATCTGAATGTTTAAACACACTACTATTGAACATTAAAAGAACTTTAAATGGTTGGTGAGCTTTGGTATCAAGGTTGCTCATCTGTGGTCCAGTTGATCAAATTTCGAGCCAAAACGATGGATAAGACTGCATATATTGATCTACTTGCAAAAACCTTGTGGAATGGACCACCCATTTGTTTGTAGACGCGACACATCAAATAGTAATGAAACAAAGTTAAATATCCTTCTACAGAACCCACCAGAGTAGAGCTAAAACCCAAAACACCAACTTAACAAATTGAGAGCCAATTCCATCCCCTCTCCCACAAACTCTTCCAGAATCCCGAAAACTAAGAAAAGTAATGACCACAATTCCTACCCCAACTCATCCAGAATCCTGAAAAAGAAGAAAAAGCATAACCATAATCCTTGAAAAGCATCACCAGAAGTGAAAAGAACTAACACCCGCAAGCGTGATTTCGTCGAGCAACTCGTGCTCAAGGACTGCCGACAATGGCAAACGCATGACGACTCACCTGGTGGGCGAGCATCCGGGCGTGGGCGCGGCTACCCATGATGTCCTGCTTGTAGAGCGCCTTGTCGAAGGAGACGGACTCGCTGAAGCGCTCGACGGCGTCGGTGACACTGTCCTCGAACCGCCCGCCCCACAGCTTGGCCTCCTTGGCCTTCTCCTGCTCCTGCGCCGTCCAGGGCTGGGTGGATGCCATGGCCTCCGGGGCGGCGGCGAGGATCCAGCGATCGGCGCGTCGGTGGGGTGCGGCCGAAAACGTCGGGAGGCGGCGGCGGCAGGGGGTTGGGCTGCGTGTGGAGGAGGAGAAGGAAGGGAGCACGGGGTGGCAGAGAGCCCTCATCGCGTTCATTCGAAGCAGGTAGTCCGATAAATAATTGGATCGAGCGGGGAAGTGGGAAGGGGGAGCGGAGGCGACGGAGAGTCCACACTCCATCCCACCATCCCACCGAGAACGGTAAGTAATGCTCGTGACGAGGGTTCGTGAGTGTAGCGTGTACCTGCCGTACACGTGGAAAAGGCCCGCAGCGGCCCCACATCTTTCAGCCAATGGTTTGTTCCCTGCCGCGTCATCAGAAGGATGGGTCCATCCCCATCCCCACGTGCCGAGGATTGGCAACGTGAATCGCGTGCCCAGTGCACGTGTTTCGAGCGGCCCCCTCGGCTTCGGTAATGGTGGCGTGCCACCTCATCAGGATGTCTTGGTGGAGGAGAACGTGTATGGCACGTGGGCTGATAAAAGTCTTATTATTTTTTATTATGACAACAAAATCGAATGTTTTATTATTTCAGAATTTAACAATAAATAGAAAGTCTTTTCAGATGTACAAAAACTTCTTTCTTCCAAAAAAAAAAGAAGAAAAAGGAATGAGGTCTTCAACACTTTGTTTCATATGTAAATTATGGGATAAAATTTTAGATCCTCAATAAGTACATTTCATTGGATAAAATTTTAGATTCTCATACATCATCATCTGATTGAGTCAGATATATCACTATCAGTTCAATGCTTTATGTATTAAATTTAGCTGATAAAATTTCAGGCATATCACTAGAAAATATTCCTACTTAGTTCTTGAAAATTTTGATTTATTCACAAGTCCCTTAATTTAGTTCTTGAAAGATGTAAAAAAATCTTCCATTCTACTGTATGCTACAAATTTAGGTATAGCTAAATGACATCCTGCAATGTGATAACAATGACCTCTTACACTGAAACCATTTTGTGGTTTTGGAATACATTCATGAGAATGTAAGGACTGTTCCACAGATCTCCCCTCTCCCTAAACAAATCAATAAAAATATCATTTTCTCCAAGGAACTGATGCTACAAATCAATATAAAAATCTTCCATTCTCCTGTATGCTACAAATTTAGGTATAGCTAAATGACATTCTGCAATGTGATGACAATGAGATCTTACACTGAAACCATTTTGTGGTTTTGGAATACATTCATGAGAATGGAAGGACTGTTCCACAGATCTCTCCTCCCCCTAAACAAATCAATAAAAAGTTCATTTTCTCCAAGGAACTGACCAAAAAAAAAAAAGAATTTGGTAGTAAGTCATAAGAAAGATCAGAAGATGCTACCCACATGCCAAAAGCAAGTGCAGTATGAAGAATTAAGAAGAGTGCAATTGAGTTGTATTTTATTAAGTATAGATAAAAACATTAAAAGAATAATTAAAAATATACAGTTTTTAAGTGTACACTAAATCAATCCTATAAATTTTTCTTTTATGATTGAATCAATCCAAGGATCGTTTGTCATCTTTTCAGGCTTACATGATAAGATTGGGGGAGATAAAACACATAAAAATAGTCAATGAACATTGAGATGCCACATTTGCTTGCTGTCAAGTTAACCACTATAATTTGAGGAACTTCTTTTTGCTTTTTTCTTTTCATGTTCCTCTTCTCTTTGGAATCTAATAGGACACTTCTTTCCTTCTAGTCTATTTGATCACGTTTAACTTTTTTTTTTGCCACATTTATGTTTTCTTTGCTCTTTGACAAAAATAATTTGGACTTCTTTTTTGCTCACATAGTCACAAATCAACCCTAAAAACCTGTTAGTTGCACTATTATTCTCAAAATGGACTTCGAAGGTTCCTAGTTAGCCTGTCCATAGCTAAATTTTGACATCAGAAATAATTTGCAAAGCTTGTATCAGGTATCTCACAACATTATATCTACAGGTTTGTAGACTATAGGAATGACATGAAAGCACATGCATTCCAACAGCCATTAAAACACGTTTACTATGGCCAACTCCCAGCAGTCCAAAGTCCAGTGAACAATCTCAAAATGGATAATCCAACAATTCTATTTCACTATCCTTTCAGACCTTCATTTAACATTTGACACTCCTTAAATGAATAGAAAATACAACATAATGTGCAAGAAAACTCAGAAAATTTCATCCAACAAAAGTAATAGGTGCATGAATATGAGAAAGAGCTAATCCAACAACTGGCCCCATTGAGTAGATGAAAGCACACCACAAAGCTTTATATATATAAAAAAAAAGCCTCAAAAATCTCATAACTCCATCCAATGATCACAAATTTGTAGTCCCCAAAAACAAGGTCATAACTTAGTGCAGAAGAACTAAAAGGCTAATCTAAACAGAACATGACCAGAAATATTTTTCTCAAAAGCTATTGAATATGTTAATATAAAGTCTTATAGACCTTAAGATTGTTTAAAAGTATATTAAATTATTTCTTCCAGACAGTGGACATACTCAGATTCAAGACCAATCACAAGAACAAACATTCATTTTATAGGCCAATTTCATAAGTCTGCTATTTGATTACTCGTTGGCAGCAATATTCTTAAGACATTAAATCCTTCATCAGCATCACGAACACAGATGTACTGATCATGAAACAAGTATGAACTGCAACAAAGCTCACGTAAAAGGAAAAAAAAAAAAGAAAGCTCAGAGCACAAAGAGAAAATCAACAAGTGGTTTGCCAAAGTTATGTCCTCTAAGAAGCATGTGACTTGTAGGCCTTAGCACTTTGCAGAATCACAAGTCAAGGGTTTTTTCTGCCTGATTCAGTTTTACGCAGCCAGTGAATAAAACAACAATAAAATATATCTGGATTATGTTCACAAGAAATGTCAATCTATAAACACAGTGATACAACAGCACATCTTGATATTACATATTTAATGAAACATTAGAAGGTGATACACTCTTTATCACGTGATGCCGATCAATGAAGTATATATATATCCAGATATGCCTAAACAATAACTTCAATTAAGAAGTACACAATGTTAAGAAGGCAATTATTGCATGAGAATTTTATGACTCATTTATATGGAGAGAGAAGTAGATAAATAAAATTGCTATTTGGGATGCCCTAAAAAAGCCTATTACAAGAATGAGAACACAAACTGGAACCACAAGATCAACAAGTCATTTAAATTGCTGCATAGAAGATAAATAATGGCACAAAAACTAGTTTGGCCTAGAAGTTGTCTGACATACTGGCTAAAGCAATCCAACAGTGCCCATTTTTGCTCATCAGAAGTCGAATTAATATTGTTCAACAATGCGAGAACAAAAGCTTAGTTAATTCCTAAGGGGAAAAAACAGCTAGATCCATTTTCCATTGTCTACTCCTCCATCTCCGAACCCGAGGCACCATTCTTCTTGTTATGCTTTCTTGCGTACCTTTGGTTCCTCAGAAACTTTGGATCCATCTGCAAAACCCATAAATAAGAACCCAAATAATATAAAAAACAAATATTTGATGCAAATTAGCAAATCCACGGGCAAAATAACATTCCAGAGATGCTACCAAAGCAAACCCGATTAATACATCTCATAAGGATACAACAAAAAGGAGGAAAAACATCATCTGGGAACACTACGTAAGCATACAAGAAGAACCATATACACTGCCTAGTAAAATCTACTAAAAAGGAAAGAAAAAGACAAAATGGCGAAAATAAGATTAGAAGAAGGGAAAAGATCGAGAAAGACCAATACCCCTTTGGTGGAGGTGTGGCGATGCTTTCGGGGCTTTTTGATCCCGTTCTTGTGAGCTTTGTAAGACTGGTTGTGAGCCGTGTGGTTCTTCGACTTAGCCATTTCTAGATCCAGAGAAGACGGTTTCGAACAATTAGCCAAAATGGTACGGAATCCAAAGCCAAAAGGCGATTTTGAAGGCTAAACGTCGAAGGAATATGCCAAGCGAAGGTGGAACAGGTCGATTCGGAGAAAGAGTATTACCTACCAAAGCTGAGGAAGAAGGCGGAGCGGTCGCTTCGATGCTCCTTCGGTGCCGAGTAGGGTTTGGAACACGAAGTCGATGTAATCCATTTTATACGGCCTCTCGTTCGAATGTTGTACTTATAGTAGAATGACGGATATGTCCTTCCCGTCGACGCAATTTATTGGGCCAAGCCAAGATTTCGTCCCTTGAATCGTGTTCATCGTCGTGGACTGAAAACACCGGTAACATTCCGATACGAAACATCAGAACCGGCCGGTCCGGTAAACTGAGGCCAGCTCGTCCCCGTATAAATACTTCGCTATGGAGTGGCTCCGTGGCGAACGCGTGACCCTTTGCTTTGTCCTCTCGGTACTCCCCCCTCTCGCCTAGGGTTCGCCCCCTCGCTGGTGCTGTTGGATTTCCGGCCACCAGATCGCAATCAACCACTTTCGATCATTGGATCCGTTCTCTTCCGTCAGGGATCCGCTAGAACTGTGTGGGGTTTCGGCTTCTCGGTCGTATCTGGGGGTAGATTCTTGCCGGCGACCATGTTTCTTATAGATTGGTTTTACGGAATCCTCGCCTCGTTGGGGCTGTGGCAAAAGGAGGCTAAGATCTTATTTCTTGGACTCGATAATGCGGGGAAAACGACTCTGCTTCACATGCTTAAGGATGAGGTAATCTCGGGATTCGTAATCTTTTCCGCTTTGTCTATTTTTTAATCATTAAGCTTGGATTTGTGTTGGAAGCTTTGATTTTTATGCTTGTTGGGAGCCTGCGAATACCTTTTTCTGATTTTTCGGTGAATTTTTTGGTGTTCGTTGTATGGTAGAGGTTGGTCCAGCACCAGCCAACACAGTATCCGACGTCGGAAGAGTTGAGCATCGGGAAGATCAAGTTCAAGGCTTTCGATCTGGGTGGGCATCAGATCGCTCGCCGTGTCTGGAAGGACTACTATGCGAAGGTCTTATTTCCAACCAAGAATCTCATCGATACATCTTAATTGTTTCTCCAGATATTAAATGGTTTGAATTTTCTGATAATTATGATCAGGAACTCTCTTAATTCGTTCTTCTTGATCGCCGTTGGTTCTTAATCGACGCATCTCAATGATGGAAATAGCATAGTAGGAAGCGATCTGTTGTGAGCTATGTGAAGTAGAATAAAGAAAAATAACAAGAGTTGTTAAGAATTCTATGCTTATTTTCCAAAATGTCTTTCTTAAGAAAATTGTTGCACTGAATGTTATCTCATAACAAGTAATTAATTCACTTAAGTTATCGCAGAGAGTAGTTACAATTAGCTTATTTTAAATGCACGTGCAGATTGTCTTTTGATTTATGCAAACGAAACATTGCAATTTTGAGTTATGAATATCCAGTTTGATTACAATTCTTAAAAGGAAAGTTTTGAACTTACTTCATCTATCATATGCATAGATTTGGTACTACTGAGTTTGATTTTTTATTTATGATTGATTTCCCTGAGGAGATTTTCCATCCAAGGCCCTTTTCATTATTTTTCCCTTAAAATAATTCAATCTTATGGTTCCCTTCTTCGGTGGAGTAATATGAGAGAATGGAGATCATCACAAATGCATATTACTCTTCAATCTTAACTAATATGAGGACATGCTCCATTTTGATCATATAAATGTCCCTTAGCAATTAATTGATCATTTATTTTAAACTTTTCGTGTGCTGCTCAGATCACTCAACCATGACCCCCCCAAGTTGGTTATTCCAGGTTAAGTTTTGTTAGAAGAATTGGCTTTGTTATGTCAATCTTTCTAGAGTTCCCATTTGTTTCTTGTGTCTGTATGTGTGTTATTATACTCTTTTATTCCTTTGACAAATTTACTGTCATTATATGTTGGTTTCTTTTCTGTTTCATGTCTTATGGCTTTAGATGATATGTTAATCATTTTAATCTACTGTTGCTTTTAATAAGTCCATCTAGATATATGTAGACATATGTAGAACAAATCTAGTGTCTACAACGGCAACAAAAAATGTAAACTCCATCTAATTAGGGTAAGTTATATTGTTCTTTTTTTGAACTTATCAACGGTTTGAGTCATCGAAATAGCCTTCTTACTTGTAATAGTAAAACTGCATAGTTGTTAAATCATGCAATGGTGAGAGCCTCATGCATTGACTAATATCTTTTTAATGGAAACATTCCTTATAATTTTCTTTTCTACTAGCCGTAAACGTCATTCTCAATATTCTAATTTGAAGGATACTAGCTTTTTGGATAATTCTATTTCTTAAGCACTTGACATTCTGATCCATGGAGTGTGGCAAGTATTACATCTATCTTGAAGCTTTTTTTCCCCTTTAATTTAAGAGGGCACACAAATATCGTACATTATGCCAAACACCCTTCTCTGCTTTGACTGTCAGGGTCTACCATATGAATAATATTTACTTTCGTTGCTGCCTTCCATTGGATGGTAGATTCATTGTTTTGAAAACTTGGCTTTTGGGTGCCCCTTTCCCTTTTTCATCGATTCCAATTATAGGTTTGCTTGATCTTAAATATCTAGTTAGCTTAAAACCGAAGAGAACCTTGTAAAATGGAATGTTCTCTCTTATTCAAAATTGAGCTTTCAAGAGCTTAGGATTAGAGCACAAGTGGCCTTTTAAGAGTTTAGGATTCTTGTAGGTTCCAATTATGAGTTATTGGAGTTTGCCAATTGGGATTGTGACAATCTTTGCATGGTTGTTTAAGTGGAACTAGAATGTCATTAGGTTATTGAGATTCCAAGTATATCAGGTTGTAGGTGAGTTTCAAAACTATAGGCAGGTGGAACTTCAAAAACCGGCAAGTATATATGTCAGGAAAACACCGATGGCTGTGGATATGATGCAGGTAAGAAACTTTGTATATAATTCATGGTAAATAGAAGTGGATGGTATGGAGGTGGATGGTGTAGATATAAAGCAAGGATGGAAAAGTTAAGGCTGAGCTTGAAGGATGAAAAATGCACCACTGACTCTAGCATCACATGCAGGAGAAGCAGATGAAAATTTTGAAATTATGAAACTCAAATTCATTAATTCAAATTTGACTGAACATAGTTTCTTCCTCTATCTAATATAAGTCTATTGTGTGTCATGTACGTTCCTGCATTGGTTAAGTTTGAGTTTCTAATTGGCCAAAGCCTTGATGAATTGTTTGTGCAGTTAGGTGCAATTCTATTATCTTGAATATTGCCTTTGGTGAAGAGGATTGACAACTTGAATCTCATTCATGAAGATGGTAGTTAAATATTCTATGGTTAGATGTTTTAATTTCTTTGGCAGGTAGATGCAGTGGTTTACTTGGTAGATGCAGCTGACAAGGAGAGGTTTGCAGAGTCGAAGAAGGAACTTGATGCCCTCCTTTCAGATGATGCGCTGGCGAACGTGCCGTTCCTTATATTGGGTAATAAGATTGACATACCATATGCAGCATCTGAGGATGAGCTACGCTACCACCTGGGCTTGAGCAATTTCACCACCGGCAAGGGCAAGGTAAACCTGGCGGACACCAACGTTCGCCCCTTGGAGGTCTTCATGTGTAGCATCGTTCGCAAGATGGGCTATGGAGAGGGCTTTCGATGGATGTCACAATACATCAAGTAGACATGCTCCCTGTGCCGAGACGAAACAGCTCATGGTATTTTCTACCCTGGTCCTCAGGTTCTTATTGAAGCTGCTTATCCTGTTAGGTTTTTAATCATTTCATTGTGATGTTGAAGAAGGAACAAACATATCTTAGTGATATAGTTTGTCGTTTGCACGTTCAATCCGTGACTTTCTTAGTTGCTTGTAAATATATTTATCTTAAGTTAATACAATTTGTTTTTCTGTAATCTTGTTGAAAGATGTCCCGAGTTTGATGGCAAATATACTTTGTTATAGTTGGGTCAGTGTTTCTGATTAATACATAGCTAGAATCACAAGCGTGCTGTATTTTTGTTGCTCTTTTAATTGCGGATTTGATCGAAGGTAGGAATTGAAAGCTTTTTTAAGGGCAATAGACGTTTAGCTTTTAGATCGCTGTTATCTTACTAATTGTTGGTGACGTTTAGCTTTTAGATTGCTGTTAGCTTTTAGATCGCTGTTATCTTACTAATTGTTGGTGACTCCAAAAAGGTGATCTCAATCGTTTTGCCAACTCAGTTCGTGGACGGAGATTGTATTTGTGTGCTATCTTGCTGTCTTTGGGAGTTTCATTATTCGAGTTGGTTGGTTGGTTGGTTGGTTGGTTGATGTCCTAATGGTGAAGAAGGCCAATGGAAAATCTATTTTATTGATCTTAATAAATATTATCCTAATAATAGTTATCCTTTTTGCCTTGAATTTTTATCCGTTGATAGTTGTTTATGAACTATTCACTTTTATGGTCACCTTTTTGCTTATTTGTGAATAGACGCTTCCTCTGTTTATGAAGTATTGACTTTTTATGATTACCTTTTTGCGGTGCCTATCGAGAGGTCAAAACAGAAGGCCGTATCATATAAACATCAACAAGTCAACATCAAGCAGGACTGACGGGTTCAATATTTGAGCAGCTGTTTCAGCATGCACGCGTCTGTGAGTACAAAACTTCGTCCACCCACCACTCCTTCCACGTGATAGTCTCTCACCGCCGCCGTCCCACAGCAACCATTCAACTACAGCTGCCACACTTCTCGGAGGCTATATATACGTAATCCCTTTCTTCCGTCACTCACCTTCGTCGAGGTCGTTCCATAAGTCCACCATTACCGCCATGGATATGGCAACAACCTTCCTACGTGAGCTTTTCCTATGCGTTGCGCTCTACTACATCCTTCGCCACGTCGTCTCCCGCCTCCTGTCGTGTTTTTCTCCTCTCCCTCCGGGACCGCGAGGCTTCCCGGTGGTGGGTGCCCTCCCGCTGCTGGGAAGCGCGCCGCACGTCACACTGGCCGGCATGGCCAAGCGCTACGGCCCCGTCATGCACCTCAAAATGGGGCAGTTCGGGATGGTGGTGGCGTCTACTCCGGACGCCGCCCGAGTCTTCCTCAAGACTCTCGATCCTTACTTCTCGAACCGCCCCGTCGACGCCGCCTCCGTCCGCCTCGCCTACGGTGGTCAGGACCTTGTTTTCGCCGAGTACGGCCCCAAGTGGAAGTTGCTGCGCAAACTCTGCAAATTGGAGATGCTCGGCAACAAGGCGCTCGAGTCATGGGCGGCGGTGCGGCGCGACGAGGTCGGCCGCATGTTGCGATCCATGCATGCATCGGGGCGGAAGGGAGAGCCGGTCATGCTAGGGGGGATGCTAATCTATACCATAGCCAACATGATCGGGCGGGTGATACTGAGCGGGCGGGTGTTCGAGACGAAGGGCTCGGAGGCGAACGAGTTCAAGGACATGGTGGTGGAACTCATGACATTAGCGGCGCAAGTCAACATCAGTGACTTCTTGCCGGCGGTGGCTTGGATGGACCTCCAGGGGCTGGAGGCGCGGATGAAGAAGCTGCACAAGAAGTTCGATCGGGTTCTCAGCAGGATGGTGGCGGAGCACGAGGCGTCAAAGGGTGAACGTGAGGGGAGACCGGACTTGCTTGACGCAGTGATGGCGATCCGGGACGGGCCAGCGGAGGAGAAGCTGACCAACGATAACGTCAAGGCTCTTCTTTTGGTAAAGACCACCATTCCCGCTCATGCAAACCACGACGCATGCACAGTCTAATTTCTGGCTTCTGGCCGTGTCAGAATCTGTTCACCGCAGGCACCGACACCTCGAAGGGCACCATAGAATGGGCAATGGCCGAAATGCAACTGAACCCAAGCATCCTCAGGCGAGCCCAGGCCGAGATGGACGGAATCATCGGCCGAAACCGGCGTCTGGAGGAATCCGACATACCAAACCTCCCGTACCTTCAAGCCATATGCAAGGAATCATTCCGGAAGCACCCATCCACGCCTCTCAACCTCCCACGGATCTCAACCCAGGCGTGCGAGGTCAACGGCTATTACATCCCGAAGAACACGAAGCTCTTCGTCAACGTATGGGCCATCGGGAGGGACGCGGACGTGTGGGAGCACCCACTAGAGTTCAACCCCGACCGCTTCATGACGGCGAAGGGCGCCAAGATAGACCCTCGTGGCAATGACTTCGAGCTCATACCGTTCGGCGCCGGGCGGAGGATCTGCGCCGGTGTGCGCGCGGGGGTTGTGCTCGTGCAGTACATGTTGGGTTCGCTGATCCACTCGTTCGACTGGAGTCTACCCGAAGGGTCAAAGCCCGACATGGGCGAGACGTTTGGGATCGCACTGCAAAAGACTGTGCCGGTGGCGGCCATGGTGAGCCCTCGATGTGCTCCCAGCGTCTACGACTAGTTGAAACCCCATGCATGTTGCCTCAACTTGGAAGACGGTAGTGAGTCAGTCTGGTACGAGACATCTCCACGGAATGCTACGTCTCACTATTAATGTCATGATAACAAGGGTTTTTCTATTTTGACTTGCTCGTCTCACTATTAATGCCACGGAATGCTACGTCTCACTATTAATGCTGACTCAAAAAAATTATTAATATAATGATATATATAATTTAGGATTAATATCTATTTTAGCTTGTGATTTTAGTCATGGACATCTTAAGCCCGTATAATTTATTAATATCTAAAATAATTCTTACATTTTTAAAAATGTAATATATAAGCTCTTCCCATCAAACCTGAGTTAACATACATTAGAGTCTGCTTATTTAGCATGTTAACTCATAATAAATCATTAATATAATAACATATAACTTAAGATTAAAAAATTAAGACATCTATCAATGGTCGAAAGAGGTATCGCCATGAAAATGACCAACAACAACAGTGTCGAGCCACTATTGCCTAGCAAGGTGTCGTACGCATGCAATCTCTCTCGTGCAAATGACGAGCTCAAGAGCTTTCGGTCATGCCTTAGGCGGATATGCGTTGACTAGTCCGATGTTATGTCATGGACAAAGTTGTAAACGAGATGTTTAATGCAATGCTCATGTATAGTTGTATCTTTCGATTTTATTCATACTTAACACATGAAGAGGGCTGACTGTAGGCTTGGCAACCCCATTTTAGTTGAGTTTAATGGCTATTTTAGGCTTATAAATAAATGTTGTGTCATGTGAATAATTATGGGGATTTTGATATATAGACCATTTGAATCATTTGTTGTGTGATCGTTCAAAGCTTGTGAAGTCTATGTTTGTAATTTGCATTGGCTATAAAGTATTTGCTAAAATTGTTACTTGTGAATCCCGAGTAAAACACTTTCTCTAACACATTTTCTCTTTTGTAGGCCCTAAGGGGCTATAGGAGGTTTCGGGGAGGCTGATCTTAGCAGATATACATGTGAGGGTGTCACACGACTTAGACAAAACTAGCTAAGTTTGTAATAGCTAGGTATATAGTGGTCTCCTGGTCTCTCTTTCTCCTCTTGGGAGTCTTCGTTCTTATCGCCTCTCAATTCGTTATCTCCTATGCCCCACCTATCGCGTATATGATGTGATGGTCCAACTCTCCCTCACTTTCGCCTCCGGCCTCTCCTACCTTTGCCTCTGCACCTTTATCTACCACTTCCTCTTCCTCAACAAGCTAGTCAAGGAGAGCAAATGACAAGATGGATCTATTGGATGTCAAATGCTCTCCTTGACTAACTTGTTAAGGAAGAGAAAGCGACGGAGGTCGTAACAACAAACAAAGGCGGAGAGGCAGAGGCAGAAGAGACTGGAGGTAGAGGTGAGGAAAAGTTGGACCGCCAAGTCTTAGGCACGATGGGTGGGGGCATAGAAGAGGACGAAGTAGGAGGCGATAGGGACGAAGACGCCCAAAATGAAGAAAAGGGATCAGGAAGCCACACTACATGCCTAACGTCGACACACATCCACCTGAGGCAAAACCAAAAACTCCTAAGTACGTCATCAGCACGGGAGAGGTTGCGTGCGTATGATGCTATGCTATGTAACAGCAGCTCGGTAATGTTGCTGGTGGTCACTTCTACGACGACGCCTCCTTCCGCCGTTAATAAAGGTCTCAATTGTTTTTAAAACTTAATTACATATATTATTATATTAATGATTTATTATGAATTAGTATATCATGTAAGATAAGACAAAATGAGCTTATATATTATATTTTTAAAAATATAAAAATTATTTTAAATATGAGTAAATCATAAGTGTTTAAGAGATCCACAATCAAAATAATATGGGTTAAAATAAAATGACCCATAACCTTAATAACAATTATTTTCCATGACTTGTTGGTACAAATAATGTCACGTGGATTAGACTGTTAATTCATGCACGCTTCAACGAGAGGGTTGGCGAGTCTGATGTCGACGCTGGGTGAGCGTGAAGCATGCTTTTCCCTTGACTCGTCGTCTTGCTCGTGTGAAATCTCAGTATGTGGAGAGAAAAGCAAGCTTTTCTTTGCCATCTCGCGTCCTTTGCCTTTACCGAACGATCTCGCCACGCGTTCTCTCTCTCCCCTCTCCCTATATATCAACTTCACGGAACATGAAACCTCGCACAGGCTAAAGAAGAATTCCTGCTGCTACTGACGGCTATATATTATATTTATATGTATACAGAGAGAGAAGAGTAAGCCCAACAGCATAGGAATACATAAAGCTATGGGTAATTGGGCATCGTACGTGCAGATGACGCCGAAGGCGGGGGCGACGGCCAAGCTCGTGGGCATCGACGGCGTCGTCCAACTCGTGGAGGCACCAGCCACCGCCGCCGAGGTCATGATGGAGTTTCTCGGCCGCGTGGTGGCGAGCGCAGACGTGGTGGAACGGACCCGGCGCGCCGACGCAATGAGGGCGGACGAGGAGCTGCGGCCTGGGGCGGTCTACCTGCTGCTGCCCGTGGGCCGAGTCGGGTCCCGGCTTTCCGACCGGCAGATGGAGGTCTTGCTCGACGCTGGCCACCGACCGCGGAGGGGGAGGGAGGAGGTGGATTGTGGTGGCGGAACGCAGGTGTTCCCGGAAGTAGCCGTCGGGGCGGAGGGGAAGGTTGCGGGGTTGGAGGGGCACGTGGCCGGGTATCGTGGTAAACGGGTTGGCGGACGTGGGCAATGGAGACCAGTTCTCGACACCGTTCACGAATCCGAATCCGATTAAAACTGTGATATTACCCTTTTATTGACACGTGAAAAGCACGTGAAATTCTTTTGCATTGTATGTGGTCAATAATAAGGTCGCCAGATTATTACAATCCTTATTGTTTTCAATGCTTATTGATTTGATTGGATGAATGTTGAGGAAGTCGTCGATTTGAACCAATTCCAAATTGGTTAGTCAACAATTGCAACTTAGTGGTTTATCATCAAGCAAGATTATGTTTCCCTAATCCAAACCAAGCAAAAGATTAATCTAAACTTGAGGCTAACTGGTCATTTCAAATTTTCCGATATTGATTTGGACCGAGTGTCACTCACGGTAGTCTTAAGCCAATCATATCCCTCTCTCTCCACCCTAAAAACCACGTGAAACAACAAATGGGCCGATGACTCGACGAAATCACGTTTCACACGTCACGCCCAATTTGGCTTTCGTGGCGAAATATACGACACAGGAGCGGAGGAACTTCGACGAACCCATTGGGACAACTTACTTGCGCAACTTGGGCCCCACCGCAACGCGGTGTATGGTGACTGGTGGAGTCGCGACGTTGGTCGCCCGATTCGAGTCCACGGCGTCAACTATTGGAATTATTAATGGGAGAGGAGGAGCAGCAGCTGCATCCAACGAAACAGGAGACGCGATGTCTACCAATCAGAGCCTCCCGAGGAGTAACGGATGGTTCGTGATCGACAGTGTTGGTGTCCGCTGACTCCTTCAACACTCTTGAACACGCGCCATTTGAATGCCGCATTCACGTTCCCACCTCCGAACCGCTCCCATCTATAATATACCCACCGTTCTCCTCTCCATTGCCTCGGCCTCAGCTTCAGCTTCTTCTTCGTATCTTCTATTCTCTCTCCTATGGGGAATCTGCTCTCGGGCCAAGCGCACGACGGCAAGGTCGTGCTCCCCGACGGCACCGTCCTTGAGCTCGACCGCCCGACGTCCGTGGCGGAGCTCATGCTCGAGCACCCGCGCCAGTACGTGCTCGACCTGCGGTCCCTGTCCGCCGGCAACTCCAACGCTGCACCGCTCCCCGCGGATCACATGCTGGAGGCCGGTAAGGCCTACGTGATGCTTCCGATGGCCCGTGGGAGAGCCACCGGCTTGTCGGCGGGCGAGGCCCGTCGGGTCCTGGCGGCGGCAACCCGATCGATGACGAAGATGCAGCAACCGCCGTGCACGCGCGCGGTGGGGATGACGGAGAGCGAGCGAGCGGAATGGCCGGCAGAGGAGTTTGAGGAGGGAACGGAGTTCTTCAGGCGGCAGCATTCGAGCAAACGGTGGAAGCCGAGCCTTGGTACGATAGAGGAGGAGAGTTTGGAGAGGAAGGTGCCTCATTGGTTGTTTTAAGAGCTGCAGTTGCATGTAACAGTAGTTATTATGGTTATGTGCCTATGGGTGTACGAGAATTAAGTTGCGGAGGAGTGCAGTGCAGAAAGAAACACCTTCCCGGTTAGACTCGAATCAGACTGTTGGTGTAAATAACTTTAAGCCGTGGCCTCGGGGCCAACGCGGCTTGGTTCGGGTCCGGATGATGGGAGATCTTCCCGGGTCAACCCTTGAGACCGCTGAGGTGGCCGACTACGGTGGTCCGATCGGGACGGGGTTGTTGTTTCCTTTGGGAGGGAACTCCTCGCCTGGGCGTTTAGTGGGAGACCTCCGTCTTCGCACCTGCACACAGGTCGGGTCGGGAGAGCTCAGCCCGACCCCTCCGACGTTCAAGTTAGTGAATAGTCACAGGAGGTTTTTCTCTGTTGTCCTCCTCTTTCCTCGGAGCGCGAATATTTTTATAGTGAGGGTTACTGTTGCCTGATGTGCCTGCCCGTAAGGAGCAGGATCGTATTTCTGGTAGCGTCTGACATCGACGTTGGCGTGGCGTGAAAGATCGAGTCTGAATAGGATGTTAATGTGCCTCGGTCGACGTTCCGATCCATGTTGACCAGATGTTGTCATGTCAACAGAGGTGCGAGGCGTCATCTGGGGCAGCTGACGTCGCCCGGGTATTATCGTCATTATTACCCTCATCACAGACCAAAGACGAGACGAAGCGGTGGGAGTCAACGCCTTCTCTCTTCAATGACGACCCTTGAAAACCCATAATGACCCATGTCTCGGTGCAAAAATGTCATGCTGGTTTCGACGCTATAGTTGGCTCTCGAACCACATCTGTTCGGACGTTGTGTTGACATTGGACTATCAAGCTTCATGCAATTCAACTCATATTCCCTCTCAACCTACACAGAGTACGAACAATTTTAAGAATGCTTAACATGTCAGCCACTTGGTAATGCAGAAGAGCATGGGTGTTGTGCTAAAACTGGATTATAAAGTCTCGCACATTCAAGTCTAATTCTCAACCTACAGAGAATAAAAATTCCAAGTACGCTTAATACACCAACTATTTGAGATGTCAGACACCCTGCTGATTGACATGTATGGCTCAGCCATGTTGAGACCATGGAATAAGAGGCCTGCGGTTTGGTACATCTGGAGTTAGGCACACATCAGTTTGTTCGAACATCAGCTAAGTTAGGCAAGAAAGTAACACCCAGAAAACATGGCATCAGTACTGGCATCCTCATGTTTTTTAGCTATATTTCATGTGTATTGAAGCAGCCAAGGCATATGCTTTTGTGGGAAAATTACCTTTGCTTGTTCATTGTGGCATCTTCATTTTTGGGTACAAAAGCTGTGCCTTTGTCAAAGTCTCTGGAGTATCAGCTGAGGACAGACGCAAGGACATGGGTCCTGTGAGGAAGAGCAGAGCAGATTGTAAGCTGTTGGGGCCATTGCTCTTTAAATTCTTTGTCTGGCTAATTCAAGTCAACCATCAAGCTTTTGCAAACTAACTCTTTATTCTGATGGTAGTTCTATTGTTTGGATGGCTTTTGTAATGATGAATATTTGTTTTAGGACAGTCTGTGGGTCTATTTCTTTGACACCAGAAGTTAGCCTGACATTTCAGCTCCATATAGAAGATTCATTATTGGTTTTGGTTGGCACAGCTTCTCCATGGTCTCACACAAGATATATAACCTGACCTAACCGAATATGACATATGGAAGAACTTGATTCTACAAACCACAAGATCTGTTGTATCATTACCACTACAGTTGGATGGAAATGGAAATGATATATTATAACTACAAAGCATGGAAGTCATTTACTTGAGATGTGCCATCTCCGTATCCAAAATAACTGTATGCTTTAACAAAGGAGCATGTACTTTATGTTGTATACCCCATGATCTTCTTATGTTACCTTAACCCTCAACTACTAACCAAAGGCAAGCCAAGGTTAGTTCAACTGTGTTTTCTTTTATTGTTGAACTTGCAACCATTCATCTTGAACTGGCTCTATTTAAAGTGTAATTCTTCTATTTTATTCAGACAGCACCAGATCAGAAATTCGAACCAACAAGCATGGCCACAGATAGAGGAAAGGCTAGGATAAAAGTAGTACATGTATGAATTGATACTGAGGAAGCTCCTATAGAGAAAGAAATATGTGATGATGATGCAACATAGGTACATAGAAAGAGAAAGGGATCAAACAAAAGTAGGCAAATCCAAAGGCAATATATCCAAAAGATTGGGAGAATGGAACAGTGTGTCTGTTGCCCATTATCCCATATTACTTGGATGATGTGAGCAGAAGTGGCACGAGCCAACTCTTAACACCAGAAACTTCAGCTAACAAATCTCTTTTTTCTATACCTCTTCTTTTACATCCACCTTCTTAGTAAGGTTTCATTCTTTCACCGCTCTTCTCCTCTTTCTAAGTCTTTCTCGAGTCTCAAGGTTCTTCCACATGACCCTTCCTTCCATCTAGTCAAGACTTCAAACAATTACCATTTGTCTCATTCTCTCAAGACTAAATGCATTAAACTGTTTCTCTTTTTTCTTTTGTTCATAGAGACAAACACAGGACATGGCTGGCTGTAATGAGAATGTGGCATCCCAAGGTGAAGAGGTAAGCCTTGTTCAACTTAATTATAAAAAAGAGCACTTAAAAAGAACAGCTGTATTAACAACTTATTCAATTTGTAATCATAGTCACTCTGCTTGGAAAGGCAGGTAAATTTATCTCACTAAGAGAATATAAATTTTCTGCTTTGTGAAAATTTAGGCACTATCATCGCATTTGCTACGAAGGTTTGTCCAGTGAGTTGTATGAATTGGACTGAGAAGTTTTTCGCTAATAATTTGCAGAAAATTAATTACATAAACAAATAGTTTGCACTGGTTGGACTTAACAATTCAAACAAACAATGTCCATGCATGAAGAAGTACAATTAGGTAGATTCAACTCTGGAAAGAATAGGAAAGATATCTTTTAACTGATTCTTAAGAAGCATTTCCATTTACTTCGTGACTTATTTGTAGGTTTTTGAGTTCATTCATTAAGAACATAGTCAAAGTTTTAAGCAGATTGGGAAGGAAATATTAGCTCAGAAACCAAGGGTATTAGACATGGTTTATAATGTCAGTCTTCGAACACATACATAAATTAGGAGGCCAATTTATTTAAAACACAATAAAAAGGGAAAAAGAAGAGGTAATGAGATAAAAGGATGCTTTAAGAAGAACGAACTAAGAAGTGGCAAAAGCTTTGCATAAATGAACTCTAGTAATAAAATGCATTAAAAAATCTTTTGTTTACATTCTTACTGCCCATGAAGGACTGAGACTCAAGGGCCACCAAGAAGGACAAATTATTGGGTTAAAAGGAACTCAAGGGCCACCAAGATTTTTCTACCTTTATCATATAGTGATGACCATAAACATTACATCAATTCAAATACTTTACATTTTTTGTCAGAATGTCGAAAAATCATATAATGTTTTCTTCAGGGCTTCTTATTTTTATGCTCATAATCTTCCTGCTGTAACTCTTAGGTGAAACTTTTGTATTTCATAGGTGAAACTTTTGTATTTCAAGAATATCTTTCGGTTATAGAATAGATATGTCTTTATTTTCAGATTGTACACAACATTCTCCAAAGAATTAAGTTACTTGCTCAATTCCAGGTAAAATTGGAGAAGTATGGAGGCATTGTGCCTAAGAAACAATTAATATCAAAGGTTAGTTGATACCTTGGTAAAGTAAGCAAGCCAACTTCTGAGTACAATTAGCCACTAAGGTTCCACCACTGCAGGGTTCTGCAATCTTCGACACCTGGCCATTAAAAGTTCAAACCCAATATCAACTTCCTTTGTGATCACATGATGAATTTTAATCAGTATATCACCATTTATTCATACCTTCTAGCTTACCTATCCAGTTGAAATGTCCCACATTCATGATGGTGCAATATAATAACCATACAACTCGAAAATTCTCACTGATGCAAACAAAGCAACTGCAATGACATAACTTTATCAGCTATCAGGCCATCTCTTATGAGGTTGGATGTCATTGAAGCAGAAAATTTGTTTGCTGAAGAGACTGATCTTCAAAATCAGCAAACCTCTATTTGTTGAAGAGGCTTTTACGCATAAACATGTTGGGTCAGAAAATTTATGTCCATCATTCTCTTTTGCTGGTTGCAGGACCATGAAAGAGCCTACTTTGATTCTGCAGACTGGGTCCTCAGCAAGGTATGCCCATTGTGCTTCTCTAAGAAGGTTTGATATGCCATAATTTAAAGAAAATATCTGATATTCTAATGTTAGATTCTAACCCAGTTTTTGATCATTTCCTTTATTCTACAGGTAGGAGGAACAAGTTCAAATACAAAAACTGCAACTGAAAATTTAAAACCCAAGCTGAAGGTATGTTGATTATATGCATTGCTACCAAGTTCATCAAACGTCAATCATATGGACAATAGATCATGGCATGCATTCTCCAGTAGGTGATTTAGATAGCTGCAGTATCACAAGCAAAAAAGCCTAATAAAGCACTTGTTTTCTGAAACAAGCATACAATTAAAACCATCTTAAAAGTTTTTTGCCCAAGCTATGGACAACAAATTTCACTCAAAATCAGTCAAAATACTTGATGCTATCTTTACCTAAAACAACAAAAATATATGTAAACACTATTGATTGAACTTGAGACATACTCAGTGATGAGAACAGATCCATATAACCAACTACACATGGTTGGAACATCACAAGTTCTTATTATTGTTGTTGTACTATGATCTTTCTTAATATGGTTTCACTTCGATGGCCAATTGCTGCAGCCAACACCTCATCACCAGCTTCCACCAAGGAAGCCGACATGCACATCAGATCGAGAGTACGACAATCTTCCATTTGATTACATTGTTTTGCTTTGCTCAAGCAATCTTAATCTGATAATTGGATTCTGAAGCATTTACTAACTTGATGTAATCATACAGGATTAACAGCTAAAGAACAAATTGGGTGTGCATGATGTGGTCTATGTGAGGAGGAACGGAGATGATGCTAAATGTCTTTTTCATGTTTTCTGGTCTGCGTGTCGTTTACATGTCTTTAACAGTCATTAAAGCTCTGTTGTTGATAATAAAAAGACACAATGATCAAGTTTGTCGAGATTAAAAAAGGAATCAACCAACATTAAGGTTTTGTTTCTTGGTTGTTTTGTCTCCCAGTAAGGTTTCATAAAATAAATATCTACTGTACTCATAGTTCCCTATGCCTTTTCAGATAGCTTTCAGATAACGCTTGGAAGATACGTTGCAAAAGGATTAAATGTATGATAGAAAACTGCCTTCTATTTTCTTTAGAGAGGTTTATAGAACACAAGAACATACTAGGGTCATAGAATAAGTTAATTCTGTAATGTTCTCAACTTTACAAAGTCTAACATGTCCTTCTGTTGTTCCAAAAAAAAATGATAATTTGAAGAACCTAAATGCCTCTTACAAGTGATTAACAGTAAAAACTTAGCTCACAAATGTGGAAGAACTAATCTAGCAAACACTTTTTATTATCAGAAATTGTGAATAAGCATTACACAAAGAAAGTTTTCTAGAACATGGAAACATAATGTCATGTTTGGTGTAGTTTCAAGCTTTGGATTCCTTAAGAACTCTTCATTTGAGCATCCTTCTGTCTGTAGTTTAGCTCAACAAATTATTGGGTGTAAATGATGCGTTGCAAATTTGATCGACCACAGGTAGATGATGAGTAAATGACTAAAAACATTAGGATTCACCACAATCACACAGCAGGTTCTTGAATGTTTATCTAGGCTGATCTCAAAAGAATAACAAAAGAACATGAATCAGCAAAAACTGACTGGATCTGTCCTAACTTATCAAAAAGAGTAGCTTTATACTAAGTCTTTCCTTTTAGATGATTAAAACAAGAAAAACTATAAGTCCATCTAGTTCAGTGATTAGGATATAAATGGCCAGTCTATCTGATCATCAGATGAAGCAATAAATAAATACAGCTGCAACAACAGAATTCAGAATCATCCCAGGTTAATTAACCTCCCAGGCTGATGTTCATATATGATTCATTAGAAAATCACCAAACCATGATTTGTACAATGAAGATAAAACCAATGTATGCAATATCGTACCGTACCGGTGTTTCGAGGTTGGCTCAGTACAGTATGGTACCGGCGTACCGAGTGGTACGCCAAGGCGTACCAAGCGGTACACCAGGGTGTACCGAACAGTTTTATATATTTTCTTCCTTACTGTAGCACTGTAGCACTGTTACAGTGTAACACCGTAGCACTGTAACACGTTCCATCCGATACTGGGCTGTCCGCGTACCGGTATGCCATTGGACTACCATGGATAAAACATCAACTAATTTACTTACTATCCTGAACAATTATAAAGGAAATTCTAGTTAGCATATCACTAGAAGACTACTTACAGAAAATCTCAGTTTTTCTAATAATGAAAAATTCATTGGGCACTTTCCATGACAAAACATTGGGGAGTTGTTTTTTCTCAACATATGGTCCAACATCGTCATCTCCTATGTCGAGCACCCCACCATAAACCACACAAACAGTGGTATTACTCCAAATCAAGCCTGCTTTGGGTACATATGTGGCTCCCCTTGAAATAGCTATAGTTGTCACTCTTAGCATATTAGGTGATACAGCAGCCATAACTAAGAAAACAGAATCTCGTAAATTAAGTTATTTATTTGACATGGCCATTCTTTTGAAGAGTGATGGCTTAACGCTCAGACCCAATCTAAATAATTCAATTCTCCCCAAATCATAGCATCATCATAGACTCGAGTAGCAAACATAACTTATTTTTTTAATGATTTGATCAGTTTCTATATGTTGTACGTAGAAATCCTGTTGCACCAGTTAGCTGATTAAACTGACCTTCTGAATATTGAAATAAAACACAGTTATACTTCTACTAATTTGCAAATAGAAGATCGCATTACAGTGAGACATGTCAATGTTCGGCAGTGTAGTTAACCAAGGTATGCAATTTTGAATGGTACCGTCCGGTACGGGCGATATGTACCGGTCCGACGGCATACCGGTACGCGGACTGCCCGCTACCGGGCGGAACGTTTAAAGGCGCCCCATATCGGACGATACGGGATAATATCGGGCGGTAACGGTCGAAATCGAATTTCGACCGTTACCGCACTGTAATAGAGCTACAGTGCTCCAACGATCAAATTGACCGTTGGAACCCTTTTTCATAGTATTTAAACCCTTCTTCTCCCCTATTTCACTCCATTACATTCTTATACTTTCTTAAACTATCTCAAACTCTTTTTTTCTCACATTTGTGCTCTCCTAAACTCTACAAAACAACGATTTGTGAATTCAATTGAGGCAAATTTGGAAAGATTAAGAGGAAGAACTTTCTAATCAAGAGCTATGTATTCTCTTTCTTTAATTAGAGAGTAATTAAGATCTTTAATATTATAATTAGTGTGTAATAAAATAGTCTAACAATTCAAATGATTTTTCTATAGATATTTCAATATTTACATAAGGACAATCCGTAATAGACTGAAATACAAACCTTGCACAAGATATTCTTCAAAGCCCGAAAAAGATATGTGATACTATTCTTACCTAATTTACATTGATTTTGCTAAATTTATGCTGTTACTATATTTATTTCTAACTTAAAAACCCTATCCTAATTTTTTTTTTCCAGGTATTTTCGGAGGGTTTTACACCTAAATTAGGTGTACCGCTCGGTACGCGCGCTCGGTACACGATACCGTATCGTACCGAGCTAACCTCGAAACACCGGTACAGTATGGTATTGCATACCTTGTAGTCAACCACTATCCATACATAGGAGTCCAAGACCCATGAGTGTTGCCAGCATTGGTTGCCTTTGGATAGGTATTGAGGAGATCATAACCTCCAAGTGAGGTTGGAACCAATACAGAGTGAATGCAGTGAGCAATGGCTTGCATGTGATTGATGGAATGTTCCAATCTTTAACGAGGATAAATTCTTTGTTGATGCATGGAGGTGGTGGGTGGTGGTAAATTTCAATATGACCAAAGGATCAGTACTGAGATGGACAGATGTAAAACAAGCAATTCTTTGTACAAGAGTTTGGTGTGATTTATCTGTTACTGGCAGTGAGAAGATCCTTTGTTGTTTGTAGGACCAGTAATGGCAACAGTTAATAGTGACAATATGGGAGACAAGCAGTCAGGAAGATTGGGAAGGAATGCTGCCAATCGCCTAACGAATTCATTAAATATCATCAGCAAGCTCTGCAAATCCTTACTGTCCATAAAATTTAATACAACAAAATTGTATGAATATGTAGAGTATAAATACACCTGATCTCTGATTCATAAGTAGTAGGCAAAAGAAATCAGAAAAAAAACCTAAGAAAATGATTCTGGTCAAGAAAAAAAAGGTGGACTTCTTTGCTTTCTTAATTCTTTTCTTTCAGTAAGTTTCTAAATCATTTCTAAAGTGGGTAATCATATATTCACCCCAATTGCTAAATGCCAATGTCGACATAACCATCTTTTACGGGTCCACTCTCTAGCAAGAAAGGGTAAGAGATCTTTTTCTATCCTTAGTGTTGTTACCATTTCTGAAATACAAAGACAAATACATTAATATCAGATTTTTTCACTAAATTAGAAAATCAAAGTAACTTTGATAAAAATTGTCCTGTTGGAAATTAAATCAAAACAAAAGGTCAAAAGCATTAACATTATAAATACTAAGCATGGACTTCTACAGTAACAACCATAAGAACTATGTGATGAACTAAATTATCCAATTTATCTGTACAAGCAGTATACCAGAAAATTATATGGATGAAAAGAACAGCAAATTTTCCTATAGTTCCATATAAATCTAGAGGATGACACTTTGTGTTGCAACTACAACATGGCATTTGCCTCAAGCATTCATCTTCACATTGTAAACCAACAAGGACTCCAATTAACTGCAGAATGCAAGCACACATGAAGCTCAACATCTCTATTATAGCTATCATAAAAGAACGTCAAGCATTTTTGATAAGGGATTACCAAAACGAAGCAAAAATGAAGAGCCACAAAAAAACTTGCAATACCATCAACAAAAAATCAAGTTTAACCCAAAAGTCATGCAAGAGTTGAAGCAAATAACCCTTGTGAACCAGGAATTAAGGTATAGCCTGGTATTTGTAAGGTAATATTCTGCAGATTTGATGATGTGCCTCTATGCTTTTGCACATACCAAATGGGGCAACATGATCGAACGAAACCGAGACACTATTGGACTAGTTTTTCTAAATTTTAAATTGCAACCTATATGTGTGTTGGTTATAGATAACTGCAATTGCATATTCTCCAAAGAAAAAAACTTTCAGTGAAATTAGAGTGAATTTATGAAGGAAGTTACATTAAGAAATGTTAGTAATTGTTTATCAAGGACATACACTTGTATTCTAGCTTGAGCATTATACAGGAGAATGATCCACTTCCATTTTTTTTAACAACTCCTGTGCCATCTCCCACTTGGTAGACCTTTGAAATGCACATTCAAATGCATCTCTTGCGTAAATTGGAGGATGAAACCCCGTAGCTAGCATCGAGCTTAATTTGTCATAAGCAGCCTCCAACCTACCAGCTTTGCAATGAGCATATAGGTCCTGGACCTCCATTTTTCTTTTCAACTTCTTTGACATATCAAGCTCTCCATTTTTCTTTAGAAAACCATCAACTAAGTTATAAGTGTTGAAATGAGGGCGCATACCCAATCCTATCATCTCCATCAACAATTTGTATGCTATCTGCCAATTCTGAATCATGCAGTTTGCATGGACTAACATAGTGTATGTTGCACAATCTGGCTCACACCTCCTCTTGTTCATAATATCAAAATATTTTTGTGCTTCAACAACATTTCCTAACATACAAAAGGCCCGAATGATTGAATTATAAACAACGAGCTTTGGCTTCAGCCCTAGGTTCATCATTCTTCCTAACACCCTACAAGCTTCATCCATTCTACAAGCCTCGCACAGTGCCTTTATTATGACAGTATAACTCTCAGCAACACAATTAGGCTTCCTACCTTCCACCACTCCCAGAATCCCCATTGCTTCCTCAATCTTTCCTGCTTGACAAAGCCTCAAAACAAGTGCATCCACAATATAAGTGCTTGGCAACATACCCAACCTTGCAATCATGTGGAAGACCTCAACTGCAGGTCGTAAGACTCCATCAGCCATGAGATTGGGAACCAAAATATCAAATGGCCTGCTGTGTTTCCTAATGCTAACTCTCCCTACCGTCTCGTCCTTGCCACCAAACTCACAAAGCTCTCTGACAAGAATATTCAATGCTGTCCTTGTTGGAACCAAAGTAGCCCGGGTCATCTCCCGGAACACTTCAAATGCATTCTCCAATCGTCCAAACCTACAAAGTCCGATAATAATATTACTGTACGAATACATGTCCGGCTGCACAATCCTATGAAAGATTCTAACAGCCACATCGATCAAGCCACCGGAAAGATCCTTTTTGCAAAGCACATATAGCACATTGTTGATCACCAGGTTGTCCGGAGGGCAATTGAGCTCCAATTCCATCACCTCAAACAGGGAAAGCGCCTCCCCGACCCTCCCCTGCCTTCCGAGGAACCGGATGCAAATGGCCACGGACCGAGTCGACACGCGACCATTGCTGCGCGCGACCGTCCTCAGCAACCACTTGAGGTCATCAAATAGCTTCCTCCGGCCGAGGAAGTCGGCCATGTACTCCACCACGGGGTCATCAAACCGGAACCCCAGCCGGAACCCTGCCCAGGAGAAGAATCCGAGGGTGGCGGATCTCCCCAGCCGGCGGTGGCACTTGAGAACTTCCAGCACGAGGTCGGAGGTGAGCTTGTGTTCGAACCGAACAAGGAGGCCATCGACGACACGGGGGCGGTCAGAGGGCGGATCCGACAGCAAGGAGCAGATGGATTCCGCGTCGGGGGTCGAGACGAGGCGTAAGGAGTCGGGGCCGATCCGGGGAACGGAAACAGGAAGCGAGGCGGGGCGGTTGGCGGGGGAAGGGATGGCTAGGGCTTGGAGTGATGTGGGGATGGAGGAGAAGCGAAGGGTGGATCGGAGGAGATGAAGAGCGAGACGAGAGAGTGGTTTTGGCCTCCCGAGCATTACAGGGATGGGGGCGGCACGGAGACGGCGAAAGAGTCGAGATGAATCAACTGCAAAATTGAAGGTTGTATTTGATTGCTTATTGCATACTATTATGTAGGGGGCCACTCCGTTTCCTTAACGGGTCGGGCCGATGTAATATGAGATACAGAGACAATCTTGAATTGGGCTACTCCGTTTTGTTAACGGGTCGGGCTGAGGGAACATGAGATACGGACACAATCTTGGGCAAGTGGGACGACTCGAAATTTGTATTAGAGAGAGAAAAGGGGATGAGGTCGAAAGAACAACCAAATAACTGAAATAAACTCACAGTTAGTGTCATTCGCATGGGTCTTTTAAGTCCAATTGCATTCAAATCAATCTTAAGACTTGCAACTTGCTTATTTAACTGTAACAAGAGATTCTTCCTGCCTGGCATCTGACATAAATGCCACTCAATCCATTTGCCTAAGAAAGAGAAAGAATGGGGCATGGACTAAGCAGACCCAGCTTGTAATGTGACTGTGATTGACGAATCCACACTCATCACACTCCCTTCGTCTCAGCTAGCAGACAAGCTGAGCTGGCATATCACATATCAATGGAGAGGACCTCAATGTGTCATGTGGGGTGGTCTCATGGCAGAGAGAGAGAGAGGGGGGGGGGGCCCTCGTATTAAGGAACCTTTCTCCTTCAGCTGGGCTCTCCTCACTGTTTGTGAGGTACACTCCACCGAAGGGCAGCAATAATGGTGGCGTCCTTGCTGCTAGTAAAGCCATCCCTCGCATCCCTTCACTTGTGTGTTTCTTTTTTGATGCTTTCCCCTTGTCATCATCCTTCAGCATCATCCAGCACTTGCCATGCATCATATGAAGCATAAATATGTGAGAGAGTGAGAGAGACCCACCACTTCGGTGGGGATGTGAATTGAGATGGAAAGACGAGTCTTATTCTATGGTTATACAAATGATGTGGATCCTCCTGGTATTTCACTTTTGGCTCTACCCATAGCTTCTGCACAAGTCACTTCGGACAACTAGGCTTTGCTTTCACCACCATCATCTCCTTCTTGCATCCAACATTATTGCAGATGATATCAGTACCAACTCGAGGGCTTTGTTTGATGAGCCCGAGCTCACTCTTTGATGTTATTGCAATCTACACTTTCTATATATATATAT